CGTAGAAGCCGGCGGAGACGGAGATCGGGGGGGAGGAGAGGCCGAAAGGTCTCGATGGCACCGGCGCCGCTGTCGCCGGGGGAGGAGGGGCTGTCGGGGGTGGGGTTGGAGATCAGGACTTTGAGCGTGAGGTTAAGCGTTGGGGGGGAGAAGTAGGCGGGAGACCAGGTTACTGGAGGGCGTGGGAAGGGAGGTATTAGCGGTTGTTGGCTGGTGAGTAAATGGGTGGAAGGGGTGAGTGGAGAGAATGTACTGTAGTAGGTCTTTCCTGGGTGAAGTTCGCTTCCTGCTCTGGGGAGGCAGAAGGGCTGGACAGGGCCGACGCTGGCGTTGGAGTCGCACGCTAGGAAGACGCCGGCCGGGCTGTCGTCTGTTCCGGTTACGGAGGCGACGGGTGCGAGGCCGGTGTAGGTGGATGCCCGGCCGCTCGGGGAGAGAGTGTAGGTTGCGGTGGAGCGGAGCTCGGCTGGGGCTTCGGAAATAGTTGCGAGCTGCCCGTTCGTTGTGATCACGCCAGGCGTGATCGTCTGCGCCGAGCCTGCAGCGTCTACCGTCACCCATGCCATTGGTGACTGGGTGGCGGTGATGCTTGCCTGGGGGAGCGCGAAGGCATAGTAGAAGAGCGCCGTTACGGCGGCGCCCCGTAGGGCTCGTGCCCCTTTCATGTTCATCGACTTCAAACAACCACTTCCGCTATCCGGCGGATGTTTGGCGGCGAGGCTTCCAAGTTCCAGTCCGAAGTGGTTGGCTCGCCGACACAATCGAGACAGTGAGCCTGCGCTCTACAGACGCACGGAAAAGTGAACCAAGATTGGCCCGAGGGCGCTCAAGCAGGATGGTTAAGACGAGACCAATCTACATGTGGACGTGTGGACCGTGGGAGCTCTCTTCGTAGGGATCGTCCCCCGCCACGACCACATGAAGCTGGGCTCGAGCCGGGCTAAATACAGCATGCCATGGCGCACTAGCGCTGAGTTTATGAACTTGGCTCGGGGACTAGCAAAAACAAGGCGGGGCATGCACATGTGTCACTGCCGCCATTTGTGGCTCAGTGCAACCTCATATGCTCATATATTATTATTCCCTACACCGATATGCCCTGGGGCGCGCCGGTCCTTCTACTGCTATTTACAAAGGAAACCGTACCGTATAGGCCGGATAAAAACCTCTGTCTACCACTTTGAGACAACTGTTGGATTCGCCATATGGAACCTTCTAGCGGATACCAGTGTCAGAAGTTGTGGCACTTGAAACACGGAAGCCTGGTTGCTGATGCGCTTATGTTAGAGGGGTTCCAGGGGTTGAACCAGAGGCTATGAAAAGGAGGTCAGGGCGATGCCCGCCACTGGGGACGAAGATAGGACAATCAATCAATTCTTTTCTCCCCCCATCTTTCCGTCTGAGTGTCGTTTCCAACAACAACAATCTATGAATCCGTCATACTGCAAAAGAAAGGAGGCCCTTTGCCGGCCTCCGGGCCCTCTAGCCCTCCCCATCCACTGCTTCTAGCTCCAGCCTTCTGGCCAGGCTATACTCCAGTACCGTAGCGGGAAAATGAGGAACGTGGCATAGTATGTTGGGGCATAACAATCCCAAATATTGCATGTTTTGCTAACATGCCATGCCATGGTGACATGCCTTGCCAAAGCGACATGCTTTGGCAACCAATTTGGGTGATCTTATTGGTTAGATTTCACAGGTTCCACCAGGCACCTCAACCACGCTGAACGCTACCAATTACCACCGACCGCCGGGCACCCCACGCCACACACCACATCACATGGGACAAGGCGCAACTGCAAACTACAGCATGAATCGGTGTATTAGAGTATATTGGGAGCATAACGTTACATTTATAGTACGGTGCCACTCCATTCACCCTTAGGAGAGGCCGGAGCCCCGCCGGCTAACCCAGGCACCACGCCGCGAGGGAGTACCGTGAGTAACAGGCTAACCACGGCTAGCGGACTCGGTAGGAGTTACCGAGTCATTCTCTTTGGTGCGCTGCCCTTGGCGGCTCTGTGAACGTGTCGACATGCGTGCCAGCTGCCGCTGCGGCTGCTGCGTCGAGGTTCTAGCAGCTAGGGAAGAGGGAGGCCGAATGCCAGCGAAAGATGGCGCCCTGTCGGTGCTAGCACCAGGCAAGCTGCTAGGCGGAATAGTAGGGGGTGCTATGCTGGCAACGCACCTGGGAGGTGCGGTAAAACCCGGAGGCCTAGTGCCGGTAGGCTGAATGGTGGGTGTGGGTAGTTCGGCGGGAGGGTGGTTGCCAGTGCTCTTAGGTTGTTGGACGCTCAGAGGTGTGTCAACAGCTAGCTGAATGATGGGAGGGTGGGAAGTGGGGTCCTGGGAGCCATCGCTGTTCAAACCACCAAAAGAAGGGCCACGAGACATGGAGTAGTCTAATGGCGGCGGCGAGTTGAGCCGCTCGGTAGCCCCGAGAGGTCTGGAGATATGTGCCGGACTAGTAGGGCGAGAGGGCGGCGGGTAAATGAGTCCGCGTACACTAAAGAGCGGCTGGACGTCCTGCTCCTGCTCCTGCGAGCTCTGGTGTAAAGCTGATCGAGCCGGCATGTGTTTAAGGGACGAGCTTCGGTCGACGTTATCACTAACAAAAAGTGATGGTGCATTGCTGGAATCACTGCTAAGGGTTATGGGAAGCGGCGTATTGTTGACGGCCCTACGCCGAGGATTTGTATACGGTAGGCTAGCTGTCTGAGCAGTCCGGGCTTGTCCGGCCTGAGCTGTAGGAGTCACGGGTTGCTCAAGCATACAACCCCTCGTAGACACTAGAGCCGGCCGCTGAATGTTATGTCGAGGTGGGGGCTGTCTCGTCTTGCGCCTCCGGGAATCGGATGGATCATCGTCGGACTCCTCAGACTCAGGGGGCGGCGAGTTAGTGATGACATGCTCATGTAGTAGCTGGGCTACCGGCTGCTCTATGTCCTGTTGTTGGGGCTCGATGTTCGTGTTATTGACCATAGGCTTCCAGGTAAAGTGGTCCATCTCGATCTTTGCAAAGTTGTCGAAAGCCGAGAGGGACTCGAGAACCTTGTCTGCCAGGTTGCGCTGGTTCATGTCGATAATCCAGTCCTTGTTTCCAGCCCGAGCTTTCTACTCTCGATCAAGATTGAGAAGAGACTCGGAAATAACGACAAAAGCAAGCTCGGTAATCATCGTCCCAAACAAGACCTTCAAGTAATAGAAGGGCTTCTTCTTCCGGTTCTCGAAGCTCTTCCAGTCGAGGATGGGTGCGATGGACCTAAAGACGTTGGTGAAAAGAGTTTTGTCGACCCGGCCATAGATCCACTTCTTGGTACGCTCCTTGTCGTCTGCCGAGATTCCCTCGAATCCATCGCCGTTTTGCCAGCTGGCGACCCAGTCGCGAGGATCGCAACGGAACTCAGTCTTGCCAAAGTCCGCCAGCCAAACTCTCGCAAGGCTGTACATATTCTCATATAGCAGCCGATGCTTGAGCGTTGAGAATCGACTCTGTGCGTATGCCAGGCACTCGGAAAATGTTTTTGTACGGTTGTCGAGATGGGGCAAGCATTCCGTGACGACCGAAGCAAGGAGCTTTCTGTTGCAGTAGACGAAAAACACCTGCCGGACCTTGTAGTCGATGTTGTTTTTTATCGCTGTCGACTGTGCCTCAGACGGTGGGTTTGGGTCGGGTACAAACGCGTAATACATCTGTACCTCGACATCGCTGATCTTCTTGAAGCTTTCGCGGGTAATTGGTAGGAACGCGTCGGGGTAAATCTCATTGACCGGCTTGCCGCTCTTCTTTGCGGGACCTTTGACGAGAGAACCGCCGCGAGTCTTCTTCCTGGTGCTGCTGGTAGCGGTCTGCGTACCGGTCGTGATTGCGGGTGTCTCAGGCATTAGCGCCGGATCGATATCCCCATCGATAATCGGCATGGGCAGGTTAGCGCTCGGGGTGGTCGCAAGGAACGGCCGTGCGATACTGCCAGGTGTACGGGGGATCAGAGCCGTGTTAGGATGGGCCTATATTCAGCAGTAAAATTAGCCATCCTGACGAGCAAACTTTGACAGGTTACAACATACCAAAGTTCGCGCTTGCTGACCGCTGCGAGGAGGCCAGGAGCTTCTAGCTGCGCCGGTCGCATCGCGCGATGGGCGAGGCGGGCCAACGGGAGTCGCGCCACCGTCGTCGGCCATTGTGGTAGTATATAAATCGCAAAACTAGGACTGCGCGAGGGTGGCGTGGTGATGTGGTAGGATACGGCGATACGGGTAGGGAGGGAGGTGGTGGGGAGAAAGGTTTCGGTATGAGGATATTTAGAAGTTGGCCACATCAATAAGGTGGAGGGAGCGTAAAAAAAAAAACTCGCGCGCGCGATACCGTTACCGTGTCAGTGACGTACATTATTACAGATGCGTCGTGCTCCTTCTTGCAGTTGCGTACAGTACAGTGTTGTATGTTGAGATCGAAGGAAGGAGGTAGGAGCCCAGCCGCCCTTGTTGAAAATTTTTCACAATCTCAGTTCTAATTCTTTGCATCCATGTGCAACTACCTCCAACAGTATCGCCAAAATGGAACCGGAGCAATCTGGAGATCATATACCCAGAGTAAAGGGTTTGACTTCAAGGCGATCTTTCCTCTCCGGTCGAAAGCAGCATTTATCTCGGCAGGCCCTGGAAACCGAAGAGGCCGGTATCGTCAAGACGAGCATAGAGCAGAGAGGAAATTCTGAAGACAGTCACCCGTTTGAGGACGACGATGGCGATCGTGTGATGGCTAATGTTTCTAGATCCCCCCCTCCACTCGGCAGCGAGGATACGCCGATACAGGGAATAGAGAGCTATGACGATGGCTTGAATGATGGCAATGATTGTGACGACGATGAAGAAGACATTCCACCGACATCCGACAGCGAGTTTGATGGTAAGTCCTTTCGTCATTATAGCAGGTTAATATTAATCGGCTTCAACAGGTATTATCGACGCTGAAGCTCTTCGTCATGGCGACATCCAAGATACATCTGCTCACGCTGTACGCCAGGCTATCGAGCTGGAAGATGCATTTGGTGCAGGAGAGTACGAGGAATGCATTTGGGTGGGTGGCCAGCCCGATGAATCCGTGCCTTTCGACGACAATCTCTCTGAGAAACAGACTGTACCGGTTACAGCAACTTCTCTTCGACCGGATGTTGACGACACCTCAATCCTTGTCCCAGCTCGACAGAACCGATCGATCCTGACATCGAGCTTTGAGAAGTCGCTGGCTATATTCGCCGACTTGACTGGGTTGAGCCGACAGGATTGGGCTTCTTTACGGGAAATCTTGTTCCTTGTTCGCGACAAAGATGATGATGTGCCGGGGATGATCCAGAGCCTGCCCAGGCAGCTTTCCACGCTCCGAGACCGAATGCGTGGCCGGATGCCCATGATGCATATGCGAGAAGCCGACATCCCTCTGAACATTCTGAAACTACCTACCCTACCAGCGACACTCAAGCCGGAGGAGCGCCGTCGAGTTGAATCCATACGAAGCCGGGCCGAGGCAAAGACCGCGGCGGTGTCTACAGCCAAGGCCGCGACGAAAGCAGCCCGTGAGAATGGCAGAGACAGTGCCGAGGCCCGGGCCGCTACGAAGGCTGCTGAGACGGCAAGGGCTCGTGTAGAAAAGCTTCAGGGCAAGGCCAAGGATGTCGGCGACGATGAGCTGTCCCTGGGTGACCTTCCCAAGGTGACCATGCGGCTTACCTTCTTCGACCCGCCTACATTGTTCCGAAATCTCGTTGCATCTGACATCGGCCGTAGGGCACATACTGGGCCTGGATTTTTCGTCGACGCACCACACGAGCTGTTTGAATCGCATTCGTGGCTTTCGTCGGTACGCACAACATCTGGCCGGTATGCCCACATCATTCTCGACGATGGCCGCATTGGCCCTACGATCTTCCCTTCTGACTGGGTCTATTACCGGTGCCTGGATTCCGCTTGCGTACTACGATGCTCCGCCATTCGAGATCACTCGGACGATATCGTCAACATCCACATCGGCCGCGTATATGGCGTAGGACTGGATCGTCGAACCAGACCATGCACGGCAATGCCAGATGAGCTTTGCTTACAGATCCAGGAAGCACATCGAATCCAGAGCTCATTCCTTGCCAATGTTGACTTGTCGCCAGCACAGTTGACCAATGAGCTAGTACTGTCTACCGACCCCGTCTATATTCCAGAGAGCCTGGTCTACTCCCACATCGACGTTCATGTCGACCGTCACTTTGGTGAAGAACACCATGATCCTGGCTGGAAGCTGCCCAAGCAACGTGCGAACTCGAAACGACCACCTGAACCGTACCCGAAGTACATCGCACCGGTGTACCAGCATACACGCCGGGATGAAGAATGGTATCTGGCCCGTCGTATGGTTGTCGGGGGAGAGGATGTTGTCCCCTTGTGTCATACGCATCCAATCCGTGCCGAGTTGGAACTTGACTGGTGGGGCCGGGCAGTCTTCGAGGGCGAGTGAGATCAAGCCCGAGAGGGCAACTTGCCTGTCGTCTCATTTCCACATATCGACTTTATCGACGGTTTCGGGGTCTTCAGCAACTCATATCGCACTTTAATGGGGTTTTACTTCACACCTGCTGGGCTCTCACAAAGAGAGAGAGCTCGACCAGGGAACATTTTCCCAATTGTCCTTGGGTGAGTCGTACCAGTCAATTCCTACCTTACTCTCCTAGCATGGCATTGGAACCGAAGCTAACAGCTGTCGGTAGACCACATGCATCGGATTTTAGCGACGTGATCAAGGCCTTGAAAACGATGGCGCTCCTCGATGCTGGCATGGTGATGGAAATCAACGGAGAAGAGGTCCGACTATGTGCATTCACGATGTGCTATACCGGCGATATGCCTCAGCAAGCTGAGAATTCTGGTTTCAAGGGCCCTCGAGCCCACAAGTTCTGCCGTTGCTGCTTCGCATCTGCTGGCCAACGCGCTGTCGATCCGGACGTCTTGCTAAAGTTCGACATTACGACGCATGGACGCTTCCATGTCCAAACTACGGAAATGCAGCATATGCTGGAAACGGGGCTGAGGAATGCGTCGGAACGGAGGCGGTTCTGTTCGCAGTGGGGAATGGCCGAAGAGATCCCAGCGCTTCCCCATCTGTCTCCGGCATTGGACTTGATCCTTTCACGTCCCGTCGACGCTGCACATTCGGAATACAACGGCCTCGGTAACCTAATGCACTTCCTCTTGCGCGATGGCATCTTGACGAAGACTGCGCGTACTGAGTACGCTCTAGAGCTTCGGACTTGGCCGTTTCCACCAGGATGGTCGAGACTGCAATCTCCAATCCATCACCTGTCCAGCTATAATATGTCGAGTCACGCTCAGTGGATCGTTGTCATTCCAGTCTTCCTGCTCAACTGGCTGAAGAAGGACCATATCAAGCCGAGATTTTATACACAGGCCGAGAGCGAGACGGGAAAGGACCCAGTCGACCTGATTGTCGAGACCACGGCTGCCATTGCGAAGAGTACGACCGTCCTGATGGGCAGGCAAATTTCACCCGATGATCGGAGAGACATGAACCGAATCATCTACCGCGCACGCCATCTCTTCAACCAACTCTGTCTCTTCGCTGCGGTAACTTCCACCGGATCCGCCGCTGGTTCTCTCGCAGGTACGCCGGGGCCACAGCCCGCGGTAGATGCTTTCGCTGACACACTGGACAATACCGGGTCTGGTCGGTCATTACAGTATATGAACGACACCCTCCGTCCGAATATTCATGTCGCCACGCATTTTCCAGCCTTCGCCGAAGAGTATGCGTCACCGGTTAACTGCAATACCCTGACAGGGGAGAATCTCCACAGGTAAGTGTCGCTTGGCTGTCTGCCCTTCCCACCTATCCGCCGACAATCGACACTTTTCTCTACGCCTTTAGTTACAACACTTTAGCGTTTGACGGTTGACTAACAATGACGTATGTATTTCAAAACTCGCGTCTACCAGACGAACTATTCCAACGTCGAGAAGGTCCTTTTGATGAAGGTCAACTTCCAGGAAACGATTCGCTTGGTGTTACGCAACGCATTCAAGCATGATGATCCAGAATTGACAGCCGAGATGCTGGACTTATACAGAGATGCCCGAATTTGTTCAGCAAAATTCTCTCGCGAGCCGACCGTAACGGGTTGGAAGCTTTACAGGAAGCCGAAGAGCATGAAATCGACGTAGATCAGTCGGCCGACGCGACACATTTGGCGCCGTCCGCGATCAACCGCATTCCAACCGGAGATGTCGTTGCGACGCATCCGGCCAACGAAGGCAAACGACTTCCATTACGTTCGACTGATGCAACACCAACTTGGCGCCGGTTGATCCGGTTGGCTTACGAGCACGACTACGGCAAAGCCCGACAATTCCCATCCTTCTTCGAGAACCGAGCTGTCCAGTGGTCTCGGAAGTTCGGCTTTACGGACAGGTAGTTACGTCATTTCTTATTACTTATTGGCGATCCGGGACCGAGAGACGCGAGGCCGTGGTCGGACTCATAAGGTGGCTTTGGATTATTGGCAACTGGTCTGATCCATTTGCGCAACGCTCGCCCACAAGTGTGGGATAAAGGTTTTGGCGGCCTAGTTCGTGATCGGCAAGTGAAACTGGCCTTGGTGTTGAGAAATTGTGGGCTATACTTGTCACTCGAAGCTCTACGATGTTCCACTCGGCACCCTGACAGTTGGCAGCGCTAATAGGCAACTTGCCGTGAACAGGGACTCAAACGAGCGGTTTACCTTCAGAGCTGGCGATTATGTACAGTTTACCCGCGACGGAGGTGTCCAATTCGGCCGGGTCGACCACATCTTCGTACTCGATAACTTTGCCGACCGACATATCTTCGTGGTGTTGATCCCAGTAAGGCGAACCGAGACTCGGCATCATATACTGGACTTGGAGGTTATGGAAGAGATGGAAGGACAAGCTGTCATTGTCGGGGTCACTGCGGTCTCTCCTGTTGGCTTGTACATGGTTCGGGTAGAAGGGGTTGGGACTGTCTGGGTCGACTGGGACGTCCACACGCTGTAATGGTATTTCAATCGTACCACCTGTATTCCGTATAATGTATTCGTATTTTATTCCGTATTCCGTATTCGTATTTTCAGTGCACGGCCCTGCTGACTAATTCCACCAAAACCCGATGGCAAGGCATGCTGCTTTGGCAAAGCATGTTCCAAAAACATACAAGACAATTGGGGCACGCCTTCTCAGCACTGTCATGGCATACCAACCATCATAGATTCCCGCTATGGTAGCCGGCCAGAGTCCATCAGCCAGCCAAGGACCTTCCTAACAAATCTTCTGCTCCAGGCACCTACTCCCCGTAATACGGTTTGTAGGTCCCGTGTGACCGAATCTCTCTGCCGTCCCACGGCCTTTGTAACGGCGGGTCGGGCCACCAAACCACCAAGTGCTCCACTGTCTCCCTGCCTCTCCCGCACTCGCAATAGGGGGTACGGACCTCCGGGACTTTCACCCTGAACAGGTAGTCCCGGAGGCCTATATCCCCGATACGGGCCTGGGAAAGGAGGGAGCTCTGCGCCTTTGTAAGACCTTCGTGTCTCATCAGAGCTTTGTCGGTAAATAAGAGGGCTGGGGGGTCTTCGTCGGCTATCCTCCTGTTTAATACCCTCTGTCGAGTAGTACTTTGTTGACTAGCTCTCTGTTGTTCCCACCGGGCCTGCCAGGCTAGTTCGAGCACCTCCTTGGTATTCGACCCCCTATCCTTCCCCCCGATCTTCCATTTGTAGTTAACCCACTGGGCCACTACGCTAGCGGCTAGTTCAGTGGGCGTGGGACTCTGCGGGCCCTGACGGGGCCTCGGGCCTCGGGTTTTCCTCCTCTTGTTGAACCTTCGGTAGACCTTATTGCAGGCCTCAGTGATTAGATGCCCCGTGGTTATTCTCTCAGCCTCCGGCCCAGCCCCTGATTGTAGGGCCTGCTTCTTTCTAGCAGGGCCTCGAGTGCCTGCTTGTTTCCTTCAGTGTTCCACAGTAGGACTCTAATTTTCATTAGTTTCCATAGTTGCGTCTTCAGCTGGTTGGGCCTGTTCGGCCGGCTGGGTAGGCTGGGTAGGCTGGGTGGGCTGAGTGGGCTGGGTGGGCTGGATAGCTCCGAATATCCCCCCTGAACCAAGGCTAATCCGGCTTTGGGAGGGGTCCCTTCCAGCCACTGAAATCAGCGTTGGCCGGCCTCTGCCCAACCGTGGCCTTTTTGCCCCGACTCTCAGAAATCCATACTCCTCCTCCTGTGGTCGGGCCTTCTCGTAGGTGAATGCTGATCTTGGTGCTGTTATAGGCTCCGCAGCTGCTGTCCGAGCTGGCTCGAACACCCTTGGTCGGTATTGGTATGCCTCTCTCGCCTCCTTCTTGGCCCTGGCCCTTCCCGGGCACTCCTTGGCCCAGCCCGGGTGCCTTCCTCCGCAGCAGGGGCACTTACAGGGCACCTGACCCTGCTGGGTAGGGCAGAGGGCCTCCCCGGCCCTCCCACCCTCCCCATGGGCTCCCGTACCACACCTCCCACACAGGGCCTCTTTCTGGCAAAACCTCTGTATGTGGCCCCATTTCCAACACTTGAAGCACTGTTTCGGTTCCAGCATTGCCCAGTAGGGCTCGCAGTCGAGTAGCTGAGCGTTCCAGATTATCCCCTGGTCACAGGCCTTCCGAGCCTCCTCTTGGTCTCTAAGTGCAACTAGTACCGTCGCCCTGGTAAACCCTGGGTTGGTTGGGACTCTGAATTTGACCTTGTCCACTGACCAAAGGCCTAGTTCTCCCCCGAACACCTCCTCCGTAGTACCCTGTAGGTCGGCCTTCCTCAGGCCCTTCACCAGCACTGCGTAAGTTCTGCCAGCCTCTTTAGCCTGCTCCCCGAAGGCTTGTTGAATCTACTGGGTATTGTTGGAGTGCCAGCTTTTGGTGTTCGAGTCGTTGAACGTTACCACTGTGTCCCCGCTAGGGAGCTTCCGGGCTGCAATAGCTCCCTGCTTGGTTGAGGCTTGGTTGATGGCCTGGATGATTTCGACTGGGGACCTTTGTGCAAGGTCGGCTGACACGTTGGCTCCCCGCACTAGTAGCTCCCGGTCGGCCCTCTGGGGGATGATTTTCGTAGGTTGAGCTTGCAAGCCTTGCCCGGGCCCTGCGGCCACTGCAGCCCACGAGCGGCCCTGTGTCGCACTTCGGTTGGGTCCCACGGCAGCCTGGACCGCCTCCGTAACTACTTTCTGTAGGTGGGCTGCCGTAAGCCCTCCCAGGCTTTCCTTCGAGTGGTGGCGCCCCTGTTTCTGACTTGCAAATAGGTCGCTTAGGTCCTTTGCGAGGCCCCGGGCCTCTCCTCTGTTCTCGATAGGTACTAGATTTACCAAGCCGTTCAACAGGCCTCTGAAATGCTCTGCCTTAGGTAGTCTCGGGGGGGTTAGGCGCTGTGGAGGGCCATGCAGAGGGCCCTGCGAGAGGACCTCTACCAGGGGGCCCTCTATGGGGGGCCCCTCCGACGGGGCCGATGGCGGTTGGCCTGCCCACATCAGGGGCTTCGTCTTGCTGGCTTCAGGGGCTTCATTCCGTTGGCTGGCCGGGTAACGGGGCCAAAGCTCTTAATGGCTTGACGGAAAAAAATTTTTGGACGCGGTCGACGCGGTCGGCACCCGCGGGTACCCTCCTAACCGTAGCACTCACTGCGGCCGCGCCACTGGTCGCGCACGTGCAAGCGGTATTGTTAGATAGGGTTTTCGAGGGCTTTCGAATGCTGTCGGTTTCGTCGGTTTCGGCCCCACTTTTCGTGAGGCGATCTCCTTTTCTAACTTCATTATATATGCTCATATATGCGGACGACCACACCTCCATAGTTATTGCGCGGCATGATTCGCTAGGAGCAACCTTTTCCGTAGCTGATGCGAAGAAATGACATACTCACAAAATCCAGTTCTACTACAGTCAGTCTCGTGCGTCCCTCGATCGAGGACTGCGTTTCCGCCGGTGCTACGTCTATACCAGATCAGCGGGATGACAATGTTGGACCTGGGCCTGTACCAAGTAAGCTCTCCGCGTCTGTTCCGGGTCCGGGACGTCTCCGCTGTATCAGACTCAGACCGCGAGACTCGTGAAAGGCGAGTTTGACTGATTTTGTAGTGTGGTACTGGAACGAGGGAAGAAAGTTATCTAGCCACCAGGTGTACTAGTTGCCTGGTGGCGGATTAACAGGGTTAGTCTAGGATGGGATGATACGATTATTCGTATACAAGGCACGGTCCGGGGAGTTTCCGATGTCCGAGTATTCGGCTCCCCCCCAAGCAGAGGTGGAGTTGAGCTGGGCTGCCTCATCTCGTAGGATCACCTCGCTACCAGCTAGCCACTCGAAAAGGCCTGGCGTTCACTTGGCGCCTTGGAAGGCATTTTAGGGGGCTCTCAGGCGAGCCCCGAAACCTTTATTGGTGTACACGCGAATACTTTGGTATTTAAATTTTCTTTACTGCCCATCCTCGTGTGGAGAGACAACACACTTTCCTCCCACAACCTAACCCACGTCTTTTATCCAAGCTTAATTCGACACATCATACATATCATTCCCACGAATAGCTGAACACCTATCTGCGGGATATGAAGAATGTGGTAGCAAGGTCCGCCGTCCTGGGCGTGTTCGCCGCGGCCTCGGTCGCCCACGTGCAGACCGAGTGCTCCAACGTTCTTGATCCGACCTACCCTGTTCCCATCGTCGCCAGCGGATGGCAGGCGCAGCTGGTTGCGGTTAATCTGACCAAGCCTCGGAGCATTGTTTTCGATAACGCCGGCGGTCTCTTGGTTGTCGAAAGCGGCAAGGGGATCAGCCGACACATGTTTATCGACAATGGCGGCACTTGCCTTGTATCGGACGAAACCCGCATGGTTGTGGAGATGCCAGAGGTAAGCTTTTTGGCCGAAGAATATAATAGTGGTAAAAGGTTTAACAATCCAGCTTAACCACGGCATCGCACTTTCGGAAGACGGCCAAGAGCTCCAAACCCTCTTTGCCTCCACTGACACATCGGTTTTTTCCTGGACATATAACGGCGGGGATGGAAGGGTCAAGAGCCTCCGGGATTCCGTCGTGACCGACATGTATAACAAACGCCTGGCGACCCGCACGCTCCTCATGTCCAAGAAACAACCCGGCACTCTCTTGGTTTCCAAGGGCGGCCCCGAGACAAACGTTGCGGGGAATCAACATTACGGGTTGCAAATCCGCGCCTTCGAATTCACCAGCGTCACTCGAGACTTTCCCCTTTATAGCTTCTTAAGGGAAGACGAAGGTGTCGTCCTTGGCCGGGGCCTACGCGACAGCGTCGGCGTGGCCGAGCATCCAGTCACGGGTGGCATCTACGCCGTGGAGAACAGCGCCGTTGTCGCCAAGCGCAACGGCAAGGATGTGCACGAGAACAACCCTGGTGAGGAGCTCAACTTCTTAGGGTACCTAAACGGCACGGCCACGGCGACATGGAACCAGAGTACCCACTTTGGGTACCCAGACTGCCTCGCCGTGTGGCAAGTAGACGAGATCCCGGACAACGACGGCCTGGCCATCGGCACGCAGTTTGCCACGCAAGAGAACACCACCTTTCGGGACGAGACGTGCGCCGAGAACTACGTTCCACCCCGGCTGACCTTCCCGGCGCACTACGCCCCCACCGACATCAAGTTTTCAAGTGACGGCAAAACGGCGTACATCGCGTTCCACGGGAGCTGTAAGTCAACAACCCCCTCTTATTTCCCTCCAAAGCCAGTTCCAAGTCGATAGCACAGTATCGTATCGTACACACACATTGACACCACATGACTCAACCAGCCGACCGCTCCTCCACCCCCCGCGGCTACCGCCTCTCCTCAGTAGCCTTCAACGCGACGACGGGCGAGCCAATCGCGGCGGCCGACAGCAACGATGCTCTCACGGACGTGCTTACCAACCAAGACCTCAGTGACTGCCCCGACAACTGCTTCACGCCGACGGGGCTGGCGTTTGATGAGCAGGGCAGACTGTGGATGTCGTCTGAGGCGACAGGGGAGCTTTATGTGCTGCAGCGGACGGGGGAGAATGGAGAGGGGAGGTTCGTGCTGCCGGTTCAGGGTGATGACGCTGGTGAGAATGGGGCGGGTAGGCTGGAGGGGGGGGATGTGGTCGTGCTGGGGTGGAGTGTGGCTGTTGGGTTGGGGTTCTGGCTGGCGGTAATTTAGGGGAGCTGGCATCATTGGGTAGACTGGTTAGACGAGATAATTGTTATTAGACAAGATCGTGTCTATAGATTAAAGAGGTATGTATATATATGTATGAGATCGAAAGAATATATCGCCATTGACCACATCGGCTTTCCCTGGCCTCTCCCTTGGCTCCCTGTAACCCACCACTAACCAGGTATCGTGAGCGGATGTGCTGCGAATCACGGGAAAACGACGCGCCGTGCCGGAAATATTGCCGTACTGTCTGGTTGGCACAGGGTTCGAAGCTGACTTGTGACTTTTGGACCAACGACGGCAAACACAGGGCACGCACACGTCAATCTCAGCCAACACTGCCCTACCCACGCACTTAGGAAGCTCTCAGATGCTCCTTGCACCTGCTTTTGCTTCTGCTCCTTTTTTTCTTCTTTTGTTTAAGATTCCCTCCTTTCCGTTCCCTTATGGACTTGGGACTTGGATGAACACCCTCCATGCCATTGTCCAATTTTCGGTCGTGGAGTCCGCCCGAGGATCCGGAGCGGCCGGTGTTGCCGTACTCGCCCGCTTTCACCTTACCATTACCGAACACGTCCCTCCGCCACCGTTCGGCCTCTCGTCGGTGTACCCCCTCATCGAGCTGCCCTACGATACATCTGACGAGCACCTCAAAACCTTGGCGCTGACCAGGCTCGTCGTCACATGTCCACCTATCGAAGCTAACAGTGACACGGGGGGTGTCGTTGCTAAGAAGCCGCCGGCAAAAGCAACACTCAAAGTTGATGGGCCCATCGCGGTGGAAGACGGCCGGGGCCCGCAGCTAGTCGTCTGCACCATCACTCCGCAAAATAGACATAGCAAACCGTTCCATGCTGCAGCCAAAAATTTTGATCCGCTCTACTACTCGTTCCAAAACGAGAACGCTCCACATCGACCTGTTACCACCACCCTCAAGGCCGACTCCGACTACAGTATTGAGGCTGCCGCTTACGCCCATCTCCAAAAGACGGGCTAAACGGGGGGATTCGTACCCAAGTACTACGGCTCCTGGACATTTACGCTGCCCATCCGCCACCGTGAGACCCAGCACGAACGCCAGGTCCGCCTAGTGCTCGTTGAGTATATCGACGGGGTCTGTATGCGTGACCTCTGTTACCAAGAGTCGCTATCCCTGGCCTTCACCGAGGAACACCGTCTTGACGTCTCAGCCCACATTCTGGATGGCGGTGCGAGAATGGACCATTCTGGGATGAGCCAGCGTGACTTGGTGTTTCGCAACATCATGCTAAAGCTTGATCCAGAGGCGGAAGGGTGGCCACGAGTCGTCCAACGGACTGTGCTCGTAGACTACAATATCTCGGTTATATACGACCTAAACCCCGAGGAGGAGTGGAGATACGGCGAAGTCACCAAGCTTCCAGTGAATCCGATGGATCTGTTTTGGGACATATCGCTCGACGATTTCGGCCACTGGGTGCCCAAGACTGGCGTTGCAATGAGAGGGCCCAGCAAATGTGGCTTATGGAGCGGTTCGGGGGGCCAAATGCGTTTGCGTACGCGCCGGTATCGAGGGAGCTAAAGCTGGCCCCGGCTGTGCATAGCGGTCAGCTATCCCTCCGTTCAGCAACGCCCACCGTCGAACCCCCCAGCACGGCCGTCAATGAGCCGCACACGACCTGGACTCCGGTTTCGGAACTGAAGCGGTTAATTCCCCTTGAACTCAAGTCCGCCCCGGATGTACCGCCGCCGGCTCTCGGGACGCCTATTCAATGGAAGTATCTCAAAGATCCAGCCAAATGATGTACCTCTCAAATGTTTAGAGGGGTTCATTGTGTCCTTTTCAACGGGGAGGGGGAGGGGGGGGTACATAGAACTAGATGTGTCGATGAGGAGTATCCTGCCAAAGTGCAAGGACGTCTTAGTTTGAGGTGTCCGCCGTCCAGGTTTACGACGCGACTGTTTCGTAATTAGGAAAACTTGCTCCAACCTAGAGATCTGGTAACACTGCAGAATGTTTGAGGTGGTGACTTACAGGTTTGGGTTCCGATGCTGACTGGCCTGAAGGCCACGGATACGGACACCTCCGACGAGCCGGGCCAGATTATCAGGTGTTGAGCAATGGGGTATATCATACCAGTGAAATGGTGACTTTCAAGCGCCGGACTTAGTTACCTGGCGGTTGGGTGACATGATGAAATAGCTCCGAGTAGAAGGATGATGTATGGGACCGGGTAGGTACTTAAGTACGTTCACTTGGTGAAACCAAACCCCTCCGAGGAAGAGGCTCCGCTCAACTTTCCACTCGTATTAATTTTTCAACCACTACTCACAACAACCACCCCAATTCAACCCCCCCGCCCCCCTCTCTCTCTTGCTCATCTCAACCCACACAAACCCTCTCCCCCACCTCAATCCCACATTCCTCATCCAACCCCGGATTCAACGCCCTAAACGCCCCCTCACTCAACCCAAACTGCTCCCAGATCTTGGCGCACCAGTCCCCCGCCACGACGGTATACGTCTTCTTGCACGCCGACGGCGCCGCCACGCACAGCACCTGCCCGACGTCAATGTCGCAGCCCGCGTTCAGCGCCGGGTTCAGCGCCCGGAAGGCGGCCTCGCTCAGCCCGAACTGCGCCCAGATCTTGGCGCACCAGTCGCCTGGTTGGACGGTGTAGGTTTGGGCGCAGGTGGGGGCGGGGGAGGTGCTGGTTGGGGGTGTGGACGTGCTGGTGCGCGTGGCGGGGGTGCTGCTGCTGGTGGGTTTGGGGGTTGTGGAGGTGGTGGTGGTGGTTTGGGGGAGGGGCGGGCCTTGCACGCAGTAGGCGTCGTCGAGGATCAGGTTGCTGCAGTCGGGTTTGAGGTCGGGGTTCCAGGCGACGAGCTGGGCCATGGTCACGCCGAGGGTGTTTTGCAGGAGGGCGCAGCTGTCGTTGGGCACGATGACGTGCCACTTGTAGCACTCGCCGGTGGTGCCGGTTGGGGTGGGGCCCGGGGGTGGGAGGGTGGTGGACGGTGGGGTGGTGCCGCCGTCGAAGGTCACGTTCCAGTCGTAGGTCGGGTGCACGCAGTACCAGAGGTCAGGGATCAGGTTGGCGCACTCTGCGTCGATGGAGGGGTTGATGTCTTGGAAGAGGGGGACTGAGACTTTGGCGGCAAGGGAGATGCGGTTGCAGGTGTCGGCGACCTGGACTTGGTAGTAGGCGCCACAGTTGTCTGTGGTGCCGAAGGGGGTGTTTCCGGGAGCGGGCACCACGTTGTCGGCGTACTCCCCGAGAGCCCAGGACGAGTTGGACCCGGGGAGTGGGACGGGAACGTAGCTGCCGTCGGGTGACGAGACGCAGACCACGGTGCCGTTGGGCCGAAGGTTGGTGCATTCGCCGTTGATGGCGGGATTGTAGGCAATGAACTGGGAGACCGAGATGTTGTGCTGTGCACTAATGCTCCAGCAATCGTCGGACACACCAGCTTGGATGGTCTCGCAGGTCTGGGGCAGGCAGAGGTTAAAGGTTGTGTCATCCTCGAGAGTCAGCCGGGTGCAGCCGGCCGTGAGGTCGTTTATGGATGCCAGAGTGTCTTCGGCAACGAACTCGGCCAGGGCAATCGAATGGCATGTGTCGCCAGGCTTGGTCGTGTATGTCTTGCCAGAGGGACAGGTTCTGTTTGCACCGTCTGCTGTGTTTGGGAATGTTACCTCAGGGGGGGGCTTCGGAGTGGTAATAGCATTAACATTACACCCTAAATGTGTCAGAAAATTGATCGCCCAACGCTACTACAACATGAGTCGGTTTCCTAGAAACTTACGTGTGAATATCTTCTTGTATGTGTCAACCATGGCCTCGTTGTAGCCAAGGAAGACCGAGTTCTGAACCGTCCGCATGTTGTTGATCTGGCAGTGGCTGCAGAGGACGGCATCTGGTAAATCCTCCAGTTTCGGGTTTCCATTTGCGGCGTATTGCTCTTTCAACCATTCTAGCGGAGTATGTTAGCCATGTTTGTGAGCTAGCAACAGCGAAACATCAACAAAATAAGGATCGTCACGCACCGGGACAGTATTCACCGCTGTCGGGATCTTTGTCGCATACCTAACATTCTTCGTAAGTTACCATCGTTATTGATATTGAATCTTCCAAACCACCGACCATGTTGAAGTAATCAAAAATGATATCCCCTCTCCACGTGTTGGCATACGTGTCGAAAGCCCCAGACGCGCCACAGGCTGAAGTGACCGCCGTGTGGTAAGACACCAACGACGCGTTGCACTGGGGGTTGCAAAGACTGGAGCTGGCGCCATCGAAGGAAATAACATAACCGCTGGCCGCGAGCTGCTGCATCTGAGGGTCGCAGGCGACGGTTTGGTTGAGCGCAGACGCACAGTCCGTCGAGATGGGTTGGCTGTTACCGAAGCCTACCACGGCGTCAACGGCATTGCCAAAGCTGCCATCATTGCTGGTCCATGGGAAGAGAACGATACTCCCATGGGCCACCGCAATTAGAAGCGAAGCCACGAGCAAGGTGAACGAGTGTAGCATGTTGACGGCAGCTGCAGTGGTCTCAACTTGCGGTTTTTTGGAAGTCCCTGATGGGAGTTCCGCCGATATGTACCTGGATAGGGACGCTTCCTTGTTGGCCTGGGATGATATCTCTCATGTACCTATACCTGGATACTTTACTTCCCGAATAAATTCCGAGGCTATCGAGTCGGTCATGGGTTCCCTCAACGCAACACCAGACTAGCGTAGAGGGTTGAATTGCTGACATCCCACTTCTTCTCGAGGTTGCTTATGCATGGTCTCATTTCCTGGTCTGTGATGGAACCTCAAGAAACACAAACTATTGAATTTCAATGCACCGGTCACACAGGCCACTAGCCTGAATCAGGGTACTACTTGCTAGAGGAGATGAAATTGGCCGAACGCTCGGAGACGGGTGTGACAGCAAGCGGTTGTAATCGGGAGATAGCTCCGAGGGGTACTTAGTCAGGCGCCGGCCTGTGTGGTTAACTTTGCCTATACGCGAGGTTACATGGGGGTAAGCTTACCCACACGGAATGTGCTAAAGCTCCCCATGAACGAGAGCATACCGCGCGCATGCGCGTTAAGTCCAGGGGTGGGATCTGAGTAAGTCTTGAAAAAGAGCTGAACTAACCGGACTGGACTCCAACATGGTCTTATGCTCCATCATAGACTGTACCATTATTCGGCTGCCTAATGCAAATACAACATTCAAAGTGATACTGACAATGCAGATGACAGCAGCAGGGCGACTATCCGGCATGATGTTTCTGTACAAGCTTGGAGGTATTTGTGGCGATGCAAATGGAGAATCGGGTCTTGTTGTTGCCATGGCCACATAAGAGCCATGGGCCTGCACAGCCGGACGATTGCTGAGAACATTGGCAGCCGGCATCAACATCCCGTTCTCATCTTAACTCGCTTCAATATGGCCAAGTCTCGGCGTGGGCTGGCGCCTGCCCGGCACAGCCTCGGGCTGTTTATGTTTCTAGCTGCCGGCCTCCTCTTGGCCAACATCGCTTCGGCAAGAGTACTGGCTGCCGCAGATGGCCAGGCCGGCGATCCCGACTACACATGTTCCGCAGACAAGCCGTGTGCCATCGGCTGCTGCGGGACGAACGGCATCTGTGGGATGGGACCCGACTACTGCAGCGCCGCGAATTGCATCAACTCGTGCGATGCTAAGTCGGAGTGTGATCCTTCAAACTGGGGTCCCCAGTACGCTGCCAGTGAGAAGTGCCCCCTGAATGTAAGGTCCAATCCTCCACGTGTCTCGAACAAGCAACACCAAGGCTGATACTCAGCGTAATCTAGGTCTGCTGCTCCAAGTTCGGCTTCTGTGGCACGACAGAGGAGTTTTGCGGCACTACACAAATCGCCAATCCCAGTTGCCCTGGCGGAAAGTCGGCGCTCCAACGGACCATCGGATATTACGAAGGTTGGGGTGTTGGCCGATCTTGCGATGCTATGCTTCCGGAGCAGATCCCGGTTGAGGCATACACACACATCAACTTTGCCTTTGCCATGATCGACCCGGTCTCTTTCTCAGTCGCCCCTATGAGCAGTGGCGATGTAGATCTGTATCCTCGTCTAACGGCTCTCAAAGCCTTGTTTCCGAATCTCAAAGTGAGTGGTCGAGCGGGTGTTGGTTAGCCAGGCCGTTGACATCCCTTTAGGTATGGATCTCGATCGGCGGGTGGTCTATGAACGACCCTGACCAACCGACGGCTACAACGTTCTCGGACCTTGCGGGGTCGACGGCAAACCAGCAAAAGTTCTTCGCCTCGCTTATCGCATTCATGAGCCAGTACGGTTTCGACGGTGTCGATATTGACTGGGAGTATCCCGTGGCAGAAGAAAGGAGTGGCCGACCCGAAGATTATGTGAACTTCCCTATCTTCCTGCGAAATATGAGAAACGCCTTCCAAGCGGTGGGCAAGAGCTGGGGTATAACCATAACACTGCCGAGCTCCTTTTGGTATTTGCAGCACTTTGATATTGTCAAGCTCGAACCTGTCGTGGATTGGTTCAATATGATGGGTACGTACCGTTCCTTGGATGGCTCAACAAAGGCTGACTTTATCCCCTAGAGTACGATATACACGGGACGTGGGATGCCACAAGCGTGTGGGCTGGCCGTGAGTTTACTCCACCCCCTTTCCTTCCCCATCTAGAGTTACTCCGACATTGACATGTACATATTACAGCTTACGTCGCGGCTCACACCAACTTGACCGAAATTGACCAATCCCTGAAGCTCATGTGGCGAAATAACATCAACCCAGCCAAAGTTGTCCTCGGTCTTGGCTTCTATGGGCGAAGCTACACTCTCGCAGATCCCTCATGCAACAGACCGGGATGTCAGTTCACCGCGGGCGGACCTGCCGGGCCTTGTACAAACTCGGTTGGAACTCTCTCGTACGGCGAGGTCAAACGACTTGTGGATGCCGGCGCCAAACCGGTCCTGGATTCGAAGGCGGCCGTCCAGATGTTGACCTATGGCGGCAACAACTGGGTTTCGTACGACGATGAAGTAACACTGAAAATGAAGATTGATTATGCCAACAACAACTGCCTGGGTGGTACTATGGTCTGGGCCGCGTCGACCGACGACTCGAGAGGCTCGGCGGCAGCGGCATTAAAGGGGGCGAGTGGGCTAAACCTACCAAGATCTCAAATCGGTATCGTCATTATCCCCGACAACCCGGGCCTCTGTTCGTGGACCTCGTGCGGCGGGAAATGTCCGGCCGGAACCACGGCGGCAGCCTACCTCCTGGACGCCTGTCCGCAGCCAACCAGCAACCCGTTTAACTACCGGCTCTTTTGCTGCCCATCCAACGACGTGCCGGAGTGTAACCTTCGTGTTCAGGACTTACAGGGTCAGACCTGCATCCCTGGAAATTGTCCGGCGGGAACACAGTTGCTGGCGACGACGCAGTTCATCCTTGTCCCCTTCCAATTGTGCCCAGCCGGAGGCCACATCAACTGTAAGTGCCTAACTCACATTACCCATCTTCAGTGCTGAAGCTGATTTCTCTTCCCAGGGTGTTGTTCGCAGAGCAAGTCCCTGAGCAACACACTCGGCCAGTGCTCGTGGACCGACTGCGGCGGCAGCTGCCCCAGCGGCACTACTTCACTCACCCAGACGCTTACGGGCGACGGGGGAGACACACCTTGCACAAGTGGCCGTCGTAGTCTCTGTTGCCCAACAAGCGGAGGGAGCAGTTTCATCTCCAGTACCTGTGGCTGGTACCGTAACGCCTTCCACAACACATGCACGCCGGGATGTCCACAAGGCAAGGTCCAGCTAGCCGTCGATTCGGCCGGAGCAAACTGTGTCCGTGGTTACGGCTCTTTTTGCTGCGATCCACCGGTAAACTCGCTCGCCAGCCGCGGTGATCCGCAGATGCAGGCCTTCCAGAGATTCGTCCATAACTTCATGACGTCTGGTACATGTTCTATACACGACGGGCCTGTCCCACGGCGGAAGAGGCAGTTCGGCTCGATCCTCTTTCCAGACACCCACGACATGTCTATCAAGCTGGGCCCCCTTCTCTATGACTGGGTGTGGTCAAGGTCAGAGCGTAGCTATATTACCCCTTTCCAACAAATTTGGGACGAGGAACGGGCTTCGAACGGCAACGTCTTCCCTTCTTTCGACGACCTCGCAAATGGTCTTGCGGACTACAACCCGATCGACGGAAACTCCGTCGACTATCTCAACAACATTCTCTGCTATGGCAAGCTGGGTGCGGCTTCTCTCAGCGGTAACAAGGCTACTTCGTCTCACCTGTGCGTCGAGGTCGGCGGGCAGGTAAGAAAGCGAGGCGACGTGATCGACTTCATCCCCCGTGAGCGGCGTCACTCGGTGACCAAAGCAACCATAGAGTCCGCCGCTCTTAACAAAACCAGCAAGCGATGGTTCATCGACGACTGGACCGAAGGGGGCTCGAGGCAATACCACTGGCCTACCACTGGCGATGCGTTTGATCTTGCGAGCAGTGGTACCCTGCGACCGGAGTTTTATAACTTCTTTAGGTACCAGGGCGATCAAATTGAGATGGAAAGTAAGCGCAGAACTCGGATATTTGCCCAATGATGCAATGACTGACTTGCTCCTTTGTTAGTCGTCTTCCTCCTTGGACCGAACCCCAACAACCTGGCCTCCTTCCTACAAGCCACAGACAGGGACCGCTTCATGGTGATGCATATCCACTTCAACGCGAACGGCCTGATCAATGGAAACCTCGCCATCGACCAGATCAACCTCCGCCACGCCGAGCGCATCCAAGCCCAAGAAGAGCCCGCAATTCCCGGCCGGTTCCGCGCTGGCTTGGTCGAGCCCGGCGGAGAAGAGTGCTTCGTCTGCCAGGACAGAACAACAGGCATGGACCCGGCGACGACAATCCCACCGGGAAACCTGCGAGAGGAACTGGTCCTCGAGGTGGTTCAGCTGATCCGCCGCTGGGGCGCCAACGGGAACCTCCTTAACACGGCGAACCCAGACCCCACGCTACTACAGCGTGTCGAATCCGGTATCAACGCGGGAGCCCTCGTGAGGGACAGCACCGGAAACACTGTTAACATGTTCAACGGCGCGAGGTTCGCCAACGGCCGAGGCGGCTTGGCTTTTGCTCCGGACGGTTCGCTATATAATCCCTTTACGCGGAACGGAGGGGATATTGTCAACACGGACGGATTCTATGTGCGTCTCAACGGACAGCCTTTTTAGATAGGCAGATACCGTGTAAGAAAGATAAGGGTTTTTGGGATACGAACAAATCTTTGGCAGTTCTAGCTCTTCATACGCCGTGGCGGTACCTAACTTGCTCGTATCGTAGTAACATCCCGAGGTTGTTACGTATCACCAAACCAACCTTCCAGGTAGGCATGGGTCGTCCTAAGCATGTCCCATGGTCCCCGGTGATCTGGAAAGCTCGCTCGCCAGTCCCTTAATACCCCCCCGTTCCTCTGAGTTCAAAACAATCCCAAAATACTTTTCCAGCGCCTTGACCCTCTCCTCCTCGCTCTGAAAGCGCTTCACGACCTCCGACACGGCGCCCAACTGCCGCTTGACGTAGTCTCTATGCAGGATGAGCAACCCAACAGGGCTTTCCTGTTTCTCATCCAACAGCGTCCACATGCACATAACACTTTGCACAAAGAAACTTTGCGGCGCCGTCATAGTCCGCAGGTTCATAACTTCAAAGTCAGCAGCCAAGAACTCCGTCTCCACAAAGTGGTACTGTGTCCTCCACGGGCGGTCCTTGCCCTCCCGGACCGAGTACATCCACACCCGCTGATTGGGGTCCGCATGCTCCTCGAGGCGACGGTGATCCAACCGCCCTCGCGCCGCAGCCAAGCCAACAAATTCATGGCCGTCAATCATCGGCACCGGGTGCAGCGCGCCGCGCGACCCAAACCCGACATCGACTAGGTAGCGCTGGCCGGCGATGGTCACGATATTGACCATATGGTCCCTGCTGACTGTCAGTCCTTAACCCCTGACCCTACCCAACGCGATCCCCAAACCCCAGATTCAACTCACCAACCCTTGTACTTTCCGTCCGGCCCGCACACCCTCCCCCCAACACTATACAGCGTAAACCCCAAGCTGCGCAGTACCACCGCAAACAAGGTATTAACCTCCATGCAGTACCCGCCCCTGCCGCGGTCGACCACCTTGGCGAACAGGTCCTGCGGGTCGAGCGACAGGAGCCGGTGGCGCGAGTAATGCAGCGACAGGCTCTCGAAGGGTACGCGGGCCATGTGGTGGTGTTGGAGGGCTGTGAGACACCCGAGGGGGTCCTGCGCTGCGCGGTGCCGCGCATCGTCCCCGTGGTATCCGATGTGTGAGAGGTAGCGGGTGAGTTGGGCGTCGGTGTAGGTGGACATGGTGGTGGATGGTTTGGTGTTGGCCTATGAAAGGGTGATTGGGTGGGTTTTGGATCTTTTGTCAGGGGGAAAGGCGGGGAGAATATTCTTGTGCTTGTATTTCTATTCTCCTTGCTCCGCACGCGAGGAGTCTGACCCACGCTGACTAGTTAGACCAATTGATTCACCGTGCGCTTACTAACAACCAGGGCCGGAGGCAAAATACCTAGGTACTCTGGGGAGTGCTCCAAGGAAATCACATTGGACAAATGAGCTCAAACTACTAACAACGACATACAGAAACGACTTGAAAAGAGAGCATTGCAAATACTACCTTCGACAGCTTCCCCGCCAGATTCAGGGCTTGGTATCCCCGCCGCCTTGCCCTCCAGTCTCGAAACCGGTACACACCGAGCCCCCTATGCCGGTCTAACTTCTAAGTGGCACCTTGAAATGTCTTTCGCAAATAGGTACACAATCAAAAGAGAATTCACACCTGCCTTTGCGGCCTCTTCTCTCCACTGCAAACCTACATGTATAAGCTTCCCAATTGAATAAATAGTTACTCAGATACCACCCAGCCTTTCAGTCGTTTCGGCACTGACTGGTAACCCGGCAATGAATACGTAGAGATTTGTCGATATCTCCAATGTTTATTTCTTTTAGACGGTAGATATCTTGCATTTGTAGTTGACCGAGTGTACACAAATAAACAACCCCCTGAGCCCCTGACCCCCTGAACCCTTGAGGCGTGACCCGTGACCCCTGAGCCGGCAACCCCTGACCAGGTACCTACACTACACTAAACATGAATGCATCTGCAGGGGTGTCTCAATACAAACCTCGGCACGATAAACTTCCTCGCAACCTCACCACGCTCAAGCAGCTGCCGACACTTCCTTAACGAGAATATTCGCTGAAGAATCGGGCCCCATGAACAGCCCCATCATGCGTCCCGGCCCCGGGCGCTTCTCGCCGTCGTGCTTGATGTCGTAACGCGAGACGAGACGCAGAAATATGAGCTTCAGCGCCTCCTGTGCAAGGAACCTCCCGGGGCAAGCGTGCATGCCTGTGCCCCACGCAAGCGTGTCCTCCGAGACGGAGGCAAAGTGGAACTTGGCCGCGTCCGCGCCCGTACGCTTCTTCAGGTGGCGCTTGTAGTCGAATGTCTTGGGGTCTGGATTGACGTCTGGGTCCATCCCGTATGGGTAGCGGGGGAAGGCTAGCTGGGAGAACTTGGGGATGTGCAGCCCGTCCTTGAATGTAAAGGGCTCGGCGGCCATACGCTCGATGGTTACTAAGCAGTTAGTAAGAGGAGTAAAACACCAAGAGCGAGAAGTTCGTCCCAAAATTCGACAAGATGTTTGCAGACATACTTTGTGTAAACGAATGGACACGCAAGCTCTCCCTCATGAAGCTGTCGAGCACCCGCAGCTCGCCCAGAGCCTGGCGCGTCCAGACAAACTCAGCAGACCCTCCGCTGATCCGCAGAATCTCCGCTCTGATCTCGGCCATAGCGGCAGGATGGTCCAGCAAGTCAAACAGCATCCATAGTGCGGTCGAGGAGGTGCTGTCAATGGCGGCCGTCATTATGACATAGATATTCTGTGCAAGGGCGTCGGGTGTCAATTCCTTTCCCCGGGCCCTAAACTCCTCCAACAGCCACTGTATCGCATCTTCGTGCTGCCGCTCATGGCGCTCTTTCCCTCCCCCGGTCTGTGGTGCCGTGTTGTCCAGCTCGGCAATGCGAGCCTCAAGGACCGGCCGAAGGAGTTCGGCGCCCTCTCTGCGGTACTTCAAGACAGCGTGGACGGACGGCTCGATATACTTGGCCACCCACCGCAGCCAGTGGGGGTACTTGTGCCGGACCACCCCAGGTGCCTTGATGACAGAATTGATATAGTCGCGGGAGAGCGTGAGCCATCTGCCTTCGCACAGTTCGGGCCCAACCAGCACGCGCGTCGCAATCCGGGCGAAGCTTTGTGCGATCAGCTGGCGTGGGTTAATTAATGTCCAGTCTATCAGTTGAGCCGCGTTAGCAGTGGGCAACACGAAAACGGAGACTCTGAAAAGACAAAGCACTTACCAGAACACGGCGGCATTTCCTTATAATATGCTTTGGCGACCATCTCCTGCATGGGTTGAATGAGCTTGTCTTTATCACAGTACATCGTCAGTCGGCAGATCCCCTGGTAACCGTTTCTAATGTTGGGGGGGTGGATAAGTAGTACTGACTGAGGGCCTTATTCAAGTCCATCCTGGCGATGGTTTGTGCTTCCTCTGTCATCTCAGGGCCACAAATGTCTTTGATAACCGAAGCCTAGCAAAACATCATGATTAGAAAGCCATGCTGCCCGCATCCATAAGCAAACTTCAAGTACCTTTTCCATGAACAAGGGGAAGCTCAGTTTACTCTGTGGTGCATTCTTAACTTCTTCGAGATAGCGCAACGGCAAGATAGCGACTGGGCGCCTCGGATCTGATGCGTTGCGGATGGCAAAGGGCTGTCCGTTTTTCGTATACTGATTTTGATTGTGTCCTGTCAGAAGGAAGTCTGTTAACATCGTCAGAAACATACAGACGCACCTTTTCGTAGCCCCTGGCAAGAAGACTCCCAGCTTCAGCGATGTATCTCGCCGCCGAATTGTCGCCCTCAAAAGCGAGGTATTTGATGTTGACCTTGGGAACATGTATAACCCGCCTCCAGATTCTGATCAGCAGCCATGCTGCGACGGTAGCAAAGATCAAGGTCAGAGTCGTCGTCATTTCTTCTTTTCGTCTGCGCGTGGTGCGAGAAAAGTCAGGAGGCCAAAGAGACGAAAGAGGAGGAGCTTTATAAGGTTTCAAAGAGTGCGCGGCCCAGCAAAATGAATCCGACGGCTCGCTCGGACACTGTGCGAGCTGCGACGCTGAAAATAAGTTGGGGTCCAAATTCAAGCGGCGAGCGGTTGAATGAGTTGGTAAGGTAGCAGTTGCCTTGCCTGTTGGTGCTGTGGTGGCTGCAGTGCAACCTGAGAGGCTGAGTGAGTTCAATTCCCGGCCATCCACTCGGCGTTGACTCTCTGGTCAAAATATAAGCGCGGGCTTGGCCCACAGCTACGTCGTAATGTTATTGACTGCATCGTTCCCGTGCTGGCAGGGGTCTCAGAGACCGCAGCATTGGAGATCGCAGTATTGGATGTCCATGCCCATGTATGTACATACCTACCATGTGCGAGTCCGTCGGATGAATACGCTACTACTTTCGAAGCTATCTCCTATTTAGTTAAATGCCTTCTGCAGCCACACATTAAATGTTTACACACGGCCGCCGTAGTACCGGAAGCCACGATCCCAACAAACTTGAACACGCCTGACACCGACGGCAAGCTCACCGAGAGTACCGACGTACCAACGAGTTTTCGCTAACCCAACAAGTTCAGTGCCAAATATATGTTCGGTAGCCAATATTTTGCCTTTGAAGTCCGTGAGGCCACTGACAACCGGCTAGAAACTGTGAAGGGCTGGCATTTATCGTTGGCTACTAGCAGTGAGAGGATCATCGGTATGATTAAAAGGCGTGTCACTCCGTGGCGTGATAAAGGCAGATCCTAAAATTTCTAGCCTGGCTTGTAGGGATCATTCTTCAAAAGGGAATAAGCGAGAAGATTTGTGGTTTACCAGGGTCCAGAGTCCCATTTTCGACTTCCTGGAACAAACGATAGGTTTCTAGTCTGCTTTACCTATGGTTCGAAGGGTACGTCCATATCAACCACTGCTAGATAGACCCTTCTGAGCAGATACAAAACGTTTAACTCAAATGGGAATGCCCGAGCCCTTGAGCCCCTGAACCCCTGAACCCCTGGATCCATGCGTAAACATGGCAAACACTTCATGGAAGAAGCTATCTAGCGTCACGCCCGTGAGAAACCCGCTGTGAAGACGAAGTTTCTTGAGTTTACGGCAAATACGATACGTTACCGCTTAATGAATCAAGTGGAAAGCGCTGCGACACACGCAAAACAAATGGTTTGTGAAGGCAAAGGACAACATAGGAAACCACGGCTCAGCCTATTGGAAGACGAGGTAGATTGTTCTAGCGTCCGCTGGCAAACGGCGTGGGACAAACGTGGCCGGGATGCTTTTAGTTACAGGTCATCCTCCCCCAAGCCTTGAAGATACAGCAGCGGCAGCTCAACACCGACTAATTTACACCAAGAATTTTTCTACCCCAAATAACTGAAACTTGTGTGTTTTTCAGCACAACAAATAATATTGAAAGAAAGAAAGGGCCAGAAAGTGAAAGGTCAATAGCTCGTTAGGTTCGCATGGATAGGCCCCTCGTACTCCGGGTTGCGGATGTCCTCAGTCAGGACAGTACCGTTGCTGAAGACGGTCCCGTTCCTCAAGATCTCGGGCTTGCCCACGTGCAGGGTCGGTGGCGGGTTGTCGATAGTCGTGCCGTTGGCAAAGATGATGCCGTTCCACGACGACACGAGCGGGTTATTGGGCTGCGTCGCCGCTGTGAAGGCACTGGCGCGTCGCTTGGGCAGCAGCGGGGACCGCCGGGGGCTGATGTTGCAGTTCTCGCTAAGCATGTACAGGTTGAGGCCGATGGCGAGCGTGTACAGCTCGGCGCCCAGCTCCTCCCATCTCTGGTCGTTCATGAGGAGCTGGCCGATGTAGTCGACCATAATGACGTTAGGGAACGCTGTGGGTGACATATCGGGCACGCCGCGCCAGTAGAGCGTCGGGTTGGTCGGCAGCACGGCGATGGCCTGCAGGCTGTAGGAAAACGTCGACGTCAATACGTTGGGCGTGCTGAGCCACTGGGACACGAGCACGTTGCTGCGCGCCTCCGCCCACCTGTTCACGTTAAACTCGGCCACGGCCTTGGTGTCCTCTTTCTCGGGCCAGCCGTCGGACCACGGGAGATCTCTATGGTCGTAAATGCCGTCCGACCGCGCCACCCGGTCCGCCGCGGCCATGTTGCTCAGGTGCGCCGTGTCGAGGAAGATGAACACGCACCCCTTGCCCCCGTTGGACGACATGAAACTGCCGATGCCCCGGTCGGCGAGAATCTTCTCGGGCAAGCCCTGGCTACTGTCGGTGGGGATGTTGCCGCACCGGTTGTTGATTCTGCGTAGCTTGTCGAAGAACTCGTCCTTTTGCTTCGCCCCCCAGTAGATGGGGCCCAGGCTGGGCACCTTGCGGATGCCGATGAGGTAACGGAATTGTAGGATGATGACCTCGCCGGGGTTTTCGCTCGTGAATTTGTTGATGTTGTCCACCACCTCGTCCAAGTGCTCGCCCGACTGCCCGATAGGTGCTTTGGCCCTCTCGTCGCTGATGTGTGTCGTCCAGAACTCGTAGTCATCGCAACACTTGGGCGCCACCTGGTGCACGGTCTGCACGCGCAGGTCAAACCACCGCGCGCCCATCCGCAGCTGGTCGTACGTGCTCAGCCCCTGCGTTTGTGTGTTGGACGAGCTCGCCCCCGTCAGGATGGCCCCCGTGAGCTTGCTCATGCCCGAGTCGTGCGACCCCGGCATCACCACGTGCCGCAGGGGCCGGTCCTTGATGACCTCCTTGAGGGCGTTCATCCAGTTGCCCGGCCCGAAAGACAACGATGTGATGAAGCCGTAGTCGTTGCTGCCCGTGATGACCAGCGTCACCGACGTCTCCTGCCCCGGCACCTTGTACTCGCGCTGGCCCTTGCCCATGCCGGTCAGGTCAAACACGATACGCCCCGGGTACGTGTCAGGGATGTGCGTCGTCACCCGCACCTGGAACCTCTTGCCCGTGTTGCCGATTTTGTAGTAGGCCTCGCCGTTGGTGTCGACCGGGTTCGAGCCTACCGGTCCTGTGTGCTCGGCCATGTTCTGCCTGGACTTGCCAGGTGGGATCGAGTCCCAATCCCACCCGTCCAACTGGTATTGGTGAGTCGACTCGAGGACGAAGGGGTGCGGGGTCAGGTTGACGATGGTGATGTACTCGCGTGTCGTCGTCCCCGCGTACTCGGGCTCCATCAGGAACCAGCGCATGTACTCGCCCTCGCGCGAGGGCCGTGTGCTGCTGTGGGTCATGTCGTCCGGCGAGCACTTTTCGTCGTCCGGAATGCTGCCGTCGCCTTCTCCATCTCCATTCCCGCCCCCCGAGGGTAGCTCGGGAAGCATGGGGTTGACGACGGGACCATCATCGCCACCGGGAGGACAGCTGTTGAACCACGTCCACCCCTGGGCCGTCTTGGGGTTGACCTCTGTCATGTCGGCTCGCCCTTGGCCACCGAGGTTGGGGAAATGCAGGTTGGGCCCTGAGGAGGAGCCTTGATACTGCTTGCCTTTGGGATCCCACCAGAAGGAGCTGCCCGAGATCTGCTTCTCTCCCATGTTGTACCACACATCCGTATCTCCATTGAACTTGTCAATCCACATGAAGTCGGGCCTGCCGTCTCCATTTACATCGGCCCAGCGGTGGTTTGCACGGTCCTTATCGACGCTGAACTTGATCTGATTCATCCACTGCGGTCCGCCCGGCTTGTTGAGCCATCCCGTCACTCGGCCGTTGGGCTCCAGACACAGGTAGTCGACCCGTCTGTCGCCGTCAATGTCAGCAAACTGCATCCCCAGATCAAACACGCCGACTCCCCACCCCTGGGTGCACCCGGACTGCACCACCCTCGTCCGGGGACCGAAGGTGTAGCTGTCGGACGCCTTGTCGTAGTAGGTGTGGATGATATCGAGGGCGCCGGTCGCCTTATCGGTGATGATGACGTCGCAGAAGCCGTCGCCGTTCCAGTCGCCGAGGTGGATGGCCTTGCGCGGCACGCCCGCCAGATCTAGGACGACGCCCCGATCGTACCAGCCGGCGTAGTCGGTGTTGGGGGGCGTGTTGACGTTTTGGAAGATGGTGATCTTGCTGTTGTGGTCGATGAAGACGTAATCGTCGTTGCCCGACCCGTTCATGTCGCACCAGCGGACACCGTCGCCTTCATCGTGGGTAGATGTCAGATCTCGTTCAGTGCTAGGGTTCTAGCCTCTTGGTTTTGGAGAAAGGGAAACAACTCACCCTTCTGATGTGCTCCGCCGCCGCCGGTGTTCTTCCAGGCCCTCACCTCGTAATCACAGCGTCCGTCGACCATCGTCATGCACTGGATGTAGACATACTGACATGCAGATCGGTCCGTTAGCACACAGTTTCGAAGCAGGTTAAACATGGGGCGGCACCTACGTCATGTCTGCCGCTGTCGTAGAGCCTTGCAAAGCGAATCTGGGACCGAGCTCCGGCCTCGCCCATGCCCACATGGGTAACGCCGACCGAGTCCCAGTACGGGATCAACCCTTTTGTCTGGCCGCGCTGGTTGATGTATGTGGTGACCCTGCCCGCGCCATCCAGCCAGAGCCAGTCTGCGCGGAAGCTGTGAGGACGGAGGCAGTCAGCACAGCAAGGTTAGGCGGGGGATCGGAAACAGGATCGTTCACTTACTCTCCGTTGATGTCAACCAGCTGGACACCGTCAATGTCGCCCATGCCCTTTCCAGTAAAGACGGGCTTGCCCTCGCCAAAGTCTTGCCAATATGCCGCCTTCTCCCCTACGCCGCTGTTCCGCCAACAGTAGATGTCTCCATTACCAGCCACGACGCAGTAGTCCAGTCGCCCGTCCCCGTCGATGTCTCCGAGGCGGACGTTGGTCTGCGCATATCCACCGGGCGCAGACTTGTAGAGGCCAACGTCTCTGAACTTCGGAGGCTTGCCGCCGTCGTTGATGTGAACGTACCTGTGTTCGCGAATGAGTTAGCTGTCGCAGAGTCCGTAAGACAATGAATGACAAGGTGGAAGGGAAGGGCGTAACATGCATGTTCCCTTCCGGCCCGATGCAGATGAAATCGTCTAGTCCATCGTTGTTCTTTTGACAGAGAGGTTAGTTCCGGTGGCACACGCCTAACAGGAATAGGGGTTAGGGTGTAGAAAGGGGTTTAGTCTAAAGGGGGTTTTAACTCACCACATCCCCCCAACGGATGCCTCTCTGCTTACACGTCCCGCCAAGTGTAGGGATGAGCGTCTTATCGCCAAACACGCCGCCGCCCAGGTTCTCGCGGTAGTAGATGGCGCCCTCGCCCTGACTGAAGACCCAGTCGTCCCGCTCTCCGCCGCGGCCGGCGCCGTTGTCGACGAGATGGGCGAACCACGCGGTGTCGTTGCCGGCGTAGAACCCCGAGTGGATGCGGCCCATGGCCTGTGAGCTGTGCCGGTACGGCCCGTCGTCGATGATGCGTGGCGACAGCGCTTTGAGCACCTGTGTCCGCCCCCGCGGGTCCGCGTTGCCGCTGCCGGATTCTTTGTCGCACCTCGTGTCTCCCCCGGCCGCGTCCGAGAAGGCCACGTCGTCGGTCGGCGCCGAGAGCCAACCCTCCGCCTCGGCCTTCTGCAGCGCCTGGTGCCACTTGGCTGCCATCTTTTTGTAGCCGTAGTCGTTTGGGTGCTGATACCAAGCTTAGTTCATGTTGTTGCAAAGGGAATAAGGGGAAGCTTGCTTGCTTTGCTTGCTTACAGTGGTATCAGCCAGGTCGTCAGTGGTCATCCAGCCGTCGCCAAATTCGACAAGCACCAGACGTCTTCCCTGCCCCCGGAGCTCCAAGGCGAGCGCGCGGTACTGGTCGTTGATGGCGGCGACATTTCCCGGGTTTGCCGTGTTGGGGATGAGGGTTGACAGCATGACGCACACATTGGGCACCGTCGTGAAGATGTACTCGATCATGGCCCGCATACGGTCCTTGGTCGTCGACACGTAGTAGTTCTGCGTCGCGTCGTTGGTCCCCGCGTTAATGAGCACCACGTTGGGCTTGTAGAGCGGCACCACGATGCGCGCCCTGTCGTCGACCTGCTCGACGCGGTAGCCCGGCCAGCCCTCCACATCCTGGAGAAAAGAACGCATCAGCCGTCGCGTATTCACTATGTGAAAAAGAGATGGAAATAATGAAACACAAACCCTATCATTCATTGTGCCGCCACCCCGGCTGCCCACCATGTTGACGTTCCAGCCATCGAACCGGAGCTGGTCACGCAGGTGTTTGCGGTATCCATTACCGTCTGACGAGGCTTGGCCCCATGTGATGGAGGCGCCCAGGGGGAGAATGCGCAGGTAGAAGGTGCCGTCGCGCGCAGACAAAGAGGCCGTGGAGTTCTTGTGACCATGTACAGGTAGGTAGGCGAAAGCGGCGGTGGTGTGACAAAGCATTATGAGGCTTGTCAACCACCACCATCTGGACGTTAGGGACGCCAAGCTTGTCTTGAGGCCGTTCATGTCGTGTGTGCGGCGAAGAAGATGAATGAGAAAAGTTTCCCTCTGTGACAGTCTCAAGACTGGATGAGGATACGAGTAAAACAGCTGTTTGTGTCTTCCTCTCTTTATACCTGTCCCCTGCTACCTGCTTGGCTCATCGCCGCAGGACCCAGTTCAGCCAGGAGGTATCAGTCGGTCGGCCTGGCAAGATTATTGCCGGCCTCGTCTGACCGCGGACCAACATGCCTTGATGTTGAGCTGCCCAACAGACGTGAACGCCGAGCCCCACGACGTGATTGAGCAGTGTGCCACCAATATTACATGCATCTAGTCACCAGCCTTGTGTATATCCCCGCAGTGACTCCGGACACAAGGCCGAAGCATGCTCCCGGATGGCCACAGGAAATGACAATGAGCCAGGCGGCTAATCCGATACGTTGAACAGGGTGGCAGTGATATGCGGTTGGCTGAAGGCTGAAGAAGTTGAGGCATGGCCGTTGGGGGCGGGTATAAACGGGGCCGAAGTTCCTCTTGTTGGTTCGGCCGGTTCACAAGCCAGTGCTAATTGAATCTGTCGGCAATGGCTGTCTGAGAGGCCTAGAACGCCGTGGTCTTCAACACTTTAGCACCGGGGTTTTCCACCGATCCCCATCACGCCGGGCCTGCCAGGAGAACCACGGAAGGGGCTGTGGTCAACCAGAGACGTCTTCGTCTGCCTGGCAGAAGACTCACTGACGCAACCCGCAGCGAGCCCCCGCTTTCATGAAGCCTACTAGTAATGCAGAAGTTGGAACACCGCGACACAGAAACTCGAAGGCAGGCTCGCCGGCCTGGACCTGGTGATACTCCTGATGCTACCGAGATTACAACTGCACCTATATGGCACACTGTGTTGACTGTCAGTGTCAGGATGAGATTTCCGTGAATAGACATATTTGGTCTCTTGCGCCATGGCCCTTGGGGGCCGTTGCGGGTCGTTGGCGCTAGTTATCCGCAAAGGCCTGGATCCGCCTCCCAAAGCAGTCGTGATGTTGGACGTAGGACGAAGGATGAGCTCTCTCGGTTTTGGGCGGGAAATCAAGGCCGAAGCTGGCCCAGCCAAGAGGCCCCGGACTAAGATCCATGGTAACAGCAGGGGCAGCTAGCAGCGCGGTGTGAGCTTCAATGTTGGCGAAGGCTGGTATCGTCTTATGTTGACTCATTTTGAGGTATTTGGTCGCCTTGACACTGTGACCACCGATGGATTCCGGCCTTGAAAACCCCTATTTTCCGCTGGCGACTTTGACCAGGTGTTCAGGGGCTACCTGACACTAGCCCTGTGACCGAAGTCCTCGGGCGAGGCGGGGACGGAGCCGAGGCCCGATCAGCCCACCACATGCATGTACATTTGGGACCAACATCCAATATTGACACCAGGTCCAGTTCAGATATTGATTAACATTACACTAGATCAGGTCGCAGCTGGTGCGGGTCTCGACTTACACGTGGGGGTGACAGGGGGTCTGGTTACAGAGATCCATCATTCCATTCTTCTCAGGGTTGCCACATACGACAGGCCTCCCTGAGCCTGGCCTGGGTTCCCACCTCACATTCCTGCGTCAGGTTGTATCCTCGACAAGTTCCTGCATGAAAGCCATGCACGTGGAGACCGTGATAGCTATATAGTGTCGTGCCCGCCGGCGTTTGCATTCACTGTGAATGCTGTGAGCGCCACCCCCCCAGCTCCCCTCTTGGCATCAGTTCACGGAAGGTTGTTGTTGCACAAAACGGGTGGCTGGAGATACGGTACGGCGGGTCAACGACAGGGGCTTATTGGGCCCACCAGACTGGGCCCAATGCAGCGTTTCTAAGGGCACAGAGGCTCTCCTTTTCTTCCAGTTACATCAATCATACTGTCAGACAATTGCATCACGAATTGAAGCCTCGGATCAGTGACCTTGCTTGCACTACGTTGCGCGCCCTGTTCAGAAGTATCGCTACTCTGGCTGTTGGATTTCCAACAGTTGTATTGGCTAAATTTACGAGACGAGATCAAGTGAAAGCAGCCTCCGTCTGGCCCGTGACCTGGGTTGCCAAGCACTTTGCAACTCACCTCCGAACCCCTGTCCGCGCCGTGGTAGCAGCGCACTTTTATGCGGTTGGTTATGCAGTCTGGTTGTGCGCTCCGCCCCAGCCTAGCCTGTTGCCGAATACGGGGCAGCGAGGGGAAAAGGCGAAGGTCGCCACCCCAAGCGAGCGAGCCTCGACCGCCCGCTGGCTTGGTCAGCCACCTCATGTCCCGCAGACCTCTGCGGCCAGTACACACACCATTTTCCTAACATACACAAAACTAGCAAGCTGGTACTCTGTAGCGCACCGCCATGCCGTCCAGCTCGTCGGCGGCCGCGACGGCGACGGCACTTCCTGCCTTCACCACGCCCTTCGTGGCACCGCCAGGCTGCCCCATCTTCAGAACCACCAGCGTCGACGTATCCTCAGGCTCTACTAACGTAGTCATCACAGTCCTCGTTGCAGACGACCCCTCATGCATGCCCGATGGCTGGGACGATGTCGTCCCGGAGAGCCGGTTGAAGTTCAACCCCGGCGTGTGCCCCAGTGGCTGGGTCTACCACGACATTGCCGACGGCGACGCAACGGACAAGTTCACGGCCAAGTGCTGCGACCGGTGCGCCCCCCCCTTACTTCTCTAATCCCTTAACCCGTTGCATACTGACAATCGTACCTTATGTAGCGGCTACGAATTTCACTACTTTCCACATAGAACTCTTGTCCAGTCCAAGATCCCCCACGCGTGCGGCCGCTGGATCTCTGGGCTGAACTCGGACTCAGGCTCCGACGCCGTCGCTACCACCACCGGCGTCGACATTGCCCGCAGTACACTCCTTGTTCACTATGGCTGGGGCATCACATGGTCCGCCTCCGATATCCCCAACCTTACCCCCCAGCCCCCTTCCATCACCCATCGCATGCTGGTACCGACGTGGACCCCTGGCGACGTTATCCCGCCCGGAAAGTACGACCGCGAGTCCGCTTCGGGTCCCAACAGAAACTACTTCCTTGACGGACCCGCCATGTGGTTCGTGGTCGTGGGCTTGCCCATCATCGGCGCCCTCTTGATCGGCTCGTGTATCTACTGCTGCGTGCGGGGGACCAAGCATGAGAAGAAGATGAAAGCGCGTCGGGCGGCTGCTGCTGCTGCTGCCACTGCTGCCAGTGCCACAGCGGACGTAGAAGGGGTGCCGGACGCGAAGTGAGATGCAACCATGCACTCAGTCTCCCTAATTCAAATTTTCATGTTAGTGATCTGGTCTTGTGCTGATGTCATTCAATCCTGCAACAGGCAACATGCTTTAATGTCACCATCCTTGCACTGGTAACAATCATGGCTTCCCTTTCCCAGAACGAACCCCTTGATCACCATCCTCAACTTAGCAACCTCATCTTCCAAAACCAGATTCCTTTCTTCTAAGCGGCGAATCTTTTCCTTTTCCTCTTTGCCTCGAGTGCTCTGTCTCTCAATGACGCTAGTTCCCATAGCTTTATCAATAGCTTCCATGATAGCCTCAGTTTCGACAGTTACGGGCAGATCAACCCAAAATGTCTCCACCCTTGACTCGGTCTGAAGCCGCGGCACTGCTAGGTGGTATGTTACAACACATTTGCCGACTACAAAAATGTTGATACCACGAGGTCTAGCAGCAGAAGTCCAGGACAACGGTGAAAGTCTGCTAAGCATCCGTCGATGGGCATCGGATGCCAAAAGCTCAGCCAGAACCTTGACCAGGACGTCCAGAGTGGCTGCTTTCTCGTCTGTCCCCAGCGCTGGTAAAAGGCAGACAGGGCAAGTTGACCTTGTTAGCTGTGCCACTTGAAGGGCGAACTGTAAATTCCGCCCTAGCTCTGTACCCTTGGGTGTGTATTGAGTTACAACACCTTGACGTGGTCAACGGTGTCCCTCATTCTCCCTCAAAACCACGCACCTGTGAAACTCGCATGCCCGCCGCCCGTCATTTCTGTGGTTCGTAGGCATTGCGTCCAGCCTGCAGATTCAGCGAATACCTGCAGGACGGTCAAACGGTTGCTTGATGATGTTCCTTCCTGCTTTCTGCCGTTTTCAGCGGTTCCAAGGCGTGTAAGCTCCCGCGATTCTTTTTCTATCTGTCCTACTCAGGAACGGTACCGTAGATGAAAACTACCTTAGACAATCAGGTCTGCGGTTTCTGCGCGGTAGCTAATCGCTACCGCGCATGGGAGTGCGATCTGTTGCAGCGTGTGCAACTCCAACACGACCATGCACTGCTAACAGCTCCAACAAGCGCATCATTTTTTGGTGTTAGCGCACGTGCTACAAGAGTGGGTTCCGGCTGAAGACTACCTAGGCAGGTAGCGAACGTTCTGGCTGGAACTAATCACCTATGCAGAAACAAGGAGAGAGCACAACGGGTTACCGCATCCAATCCTTCCGCCCAATGCCCTCCTTTGCGGTTAAAACCCTCAGATGTTTTGCTCCCTGCAACCTGCAATGTGCCAAAACGCTGCGGCAGGGGCAGGGCCTGGTTCTCAGGCGGCAGCAGGCAACTTGAACTCTTCATGGATCCTGCACAGCCAGGCATATCGAGTACCACATTCCCGGCTACCGGTTTCCTCTTCCTTCGTGACCCACGGTAGGGGTGAAGGATAAGAAATCCGGCCATAATGTTGGATTGCCCCGGCAAACAGGCAGATAGGGGAGGCATCCGGGGAGACCGGCGTGTGTCTCTGTCTTGCAAGTAACGCGTGTCCGAAAGTAACGGGCGCCCTCCGTTTTGCGGGCCGCGGAGTCGGCGTGGTTCCTGGAAGGAGCGTAGAGGTTGGGTTCAACGAGGGCTTGTGTTGAGGGGTGTTGGGGGACAAAACTGACCGAGGGCGGAAACCCGCGTATGTCCGGTGTTCTGGACGCTGCCCTATCGACAACGAATCACAAAGTCCAGCTTTCAAGGCCAGGGACCAGGGAGATTGTGGGACATTACAGTACTCAAAGAAGGCACATGCAATTAGCCTAGTAGAGGTAGAAAGTGAAACGTATGATTACACACAGGCAGTTTACCTGGATACCTTTACAGCCCTAATTCCCTTTCCCATCTTATATACCTTTCTCCATTTCGCAATAACATGGACACTGTAACCCCATCCCTATTGCTCGCCTGACGTGACTGATCATGCTAGTCTGTCACGAAGTACCCCCGAGACACCAAGTGCTTGGCGCCGCAGCTCCCATCGCAGCCCGCAAATACGTAATCGACAAGGATAATGGGCAAAATGTTGATAGCCCCTCGAACCCAAGGATTTAATGACTCCTCGCCCGTTAGATACTCGTGAAGAGTCAAGGAAAATATCGACGCAAGGATGCGAGTAACAGGGGCGATAAAGGCCAAGAGGGTGCTGCCCGAGACGTGTGGCAAAACGAAGATTTTGAGTAGAATGTTGAAGATCACAGTGTAGAGAAAGCAGCACCATGCGACTAGTCGACGCTCGAGAGGGGTGCAAGCGGCCGCGGGCAAAGCCTGGGGGACATCGTCTTTGTTTTGGGTATCCATGCTCAAGTGCAAGGGGTTGTGTGTTTTGCCTAGGTAAGCTTGAAAAGTAAATAGGGGAAGAGAACTACAATAGCGAGATGGGAAGAAGTCGAGTTCCTTACCTGGTCCTTAACTTAAGAATGAAACGGGCTGTGTATCCCGCACGTAGGCTGTGTGTCACTCCCACCGCCATACGCCACGCATTTGAGCCACTAGAACAGCTTGCTTGGATGTCGGTGTTACCACCCAAGGCCGCAACGAATATCGGGGAACCCGTTCGAGGAAGATCAGCGTTGACAGGATTCTCTCTGCCGGCCTCCACGACAACCTCCACCAACCGGGTTGCATCTCACGCGTGGGACGACGATCCATAGCCATGACAAGGCGCGACAGCTTACGCCATGTCATCGTTTCGATGCAGACACCTGCGTCAATCCAGAGAGCCCAAGCAAAATAACATACTTGAAGAAGGAGGTAAGGTTAACATAGAACATCTTGTCGGCGCTGTCGACCATGCCCCTCACACGGAAGGCCGCGTTGTGGTCTATCCGACCGAGACTTGGTATATTAGGACGGTTCGATTCATCCACTGTCCATTGCGGGGCTGAACCGGCTCCTCTAGTCCAGTCTAGTAGAAGCGGACGCTGCCGATATATCCTGGATAATAGCTTCGAGGTGGCTTGTGGCCGCCAATACCATGCCAGGTGCAAGTAGCCAAACTTTGTATCCTCACTCTTTCTTTTCTTTCTTTTTTCTTTTTTTTTTTTTTTGAGTTTTTACCTGTTCTTTATTTTGTCTCTGTTACACGTTGTAACACCGCAGGAGATTGGTATCACGATGCAGCTCGAGTGTAGCAGACGAGAAAAGGCAAGTGTCTCAAAACAGTGGCAGAGAAGCTGATGTATTCATCTGCGTCGAGCCCCAAGGGCCCAATTATACACTGGTAAATATACAAGGAAAAAATGCACAGTGAGTGCAAAGTGCTATATTAGAGTCTTAGACCCGACTGACGACCCCAACCACATTATCCAACCCGGCCTTCATCTCTCATCAAACCCGGGGTGTCGTCGTCAAAGTCCCATTGAACCCCCAGAAATATCCATATCATGACAACCAAACCCCCACACAGAGCCAACCATCAACCACCCTCCTCTACGCATCCACCCCAAACAGCGCAATCGTATGGACAAACCCATCAATGTTGTCCTCATAATTCGCCACATCCACCCCACCCACCGTCACCATCTTGTTGGTTCCCACCGTGTTCAGGTTATAAACCCTGACCTGGCTCTTCCCCTCCACACTGAAGATCCTCTTCTGGCACGTCGCCCCCTCCCCAATCTGACTGCAGTTCACATCATAGTTATCAAAGAAACTGTACAGCCCCGCGCCATACACCACCAACCCCTCACTATCCACCACCCTCAACCCCCACCCGGACTCCCCTTCCTCAAACACCGGATCCGCATACCGCTCATCCACCGCAAACGGCAGCCGCGCATCAGGATTCGGCTGATAATACGCCGTCTCGGTCTGGATCTGGCCCATAAACACATCCCTGGCCCCCACAAACTGGTACTCATAGAACTGATGGTGCTCGACACTGGTCCCCACCAACCACAGCGGACCCTTGCTGTTCTCAACCAACAACCCGCGGCCGGCATAGACCGTAATCTGCTGATTATCGGCGCCCTCCTCAATATCATGGTCCGCCACCCAAATCCAGCAGTTTTCCATGTACAAGCTGGCCGCCGACGCGGTGATGTGCATGCTCATGAAGGCAGCAACGCAATCAGCCGGGACGTTGCCCGTGACGGTGGTGTTGGGGGACTTGGCGCACTGGGCGAGCTGCAGGTCGGAGCCGGCGAAGCCGCCGATGCGGGTGTGGACGTCCCAGAGGCCGGAGGGGGCGTCGGCGGGGGAGGCCAGGTTGTACTGGATGAGGATGGCGCCGGGCTGGGAGCCGCGCGTGGAGACGATGGTGTTGGACCATTCGATGCGGCCGGTGGTGGTGGTGGTGGTGGTGGAGGGGTTGCTGCCGACTTGGATGACGGGCTGGGGGGAGGCGGCCGAGGCGAAGAAGGCGCCGGAGGAGAGGATCACGGGGAAGGCTTCGCCGACGATGCGGGAGCCGGGGGGGATGTGCAGGGTTTGGGTGACGAGGTACATGCCGGCGTCGAGGAAGACGATCTTGTTGGCGGCGGCGGCGGACGCGAAGAGGGTGTTGAGGGCGTCGGTGTCGTCAGTGGTGGCGTCGCCTTTGGCGCCGGCGGATCGGGCGCTGACGAACTCGGAGAGGGGGACGTTCTCGTACTGCGGCTTGGATCGTTCGTAGAAGGCGGTGCCCGCGACGAGGGAGGCCGGCCGCTGGTTGGACTGGATGGGCCCCTCGAAGAAGGTCGGGCCGGAGGACGCCGTGTACTCGTTGCCGCGGCCCCAGGCTTCGATCACAGACGTACCGGACGAGCCGGCGAGCTCGGTGCCTGAGGGGCCGCGGATGGCGGTCGGCACGTTGTCCAGCCGCAGGTTCTCAAAGATGAAGTTGTTGGCGACGGCGGGGCCGGTGGCGTTGGGGCTGCCGTAGGTGATACCCACGGGAGTGTTCTTGATCTCGCTGTCGAGGATGGTGATGGACCCCACGTTCAGGTTCCCCTGGTCGGCGGCGGTGAAGTCGAAGCCGACCTCGCAGTTGTTGATGCTCACGCCCTTGTACGTCCAGCCCCACGACCACAGCTGCTGGATGGCCGTCTTGGCGTTGTGGACGGTGATGTTGCGCATGGTGAACTGCTGGTTGCCGATGGACATGGCCTGGGCACCGCCGAAGAAGACGAGATCGCCCATGTAACCGCCAGACCCTTCCTCGATAAACAAGCCTTGGTGCAGGTTGCCCTTGGCCTCGGACGACCGGAAGACGATGTTGGACAAGGACGTGGCCTGCGAGCTGGGCCAGTGGATGCCCGAGATCAGAGTCTCAGGGGAGACGTTGGTGATGTCGATAACGAGATTGGCCACTTGGCGCCAGAACACATTGGTGGCGCCCCATGAGAGTCCGTTGGCACCATACTCGTTGGTGTCGAGGAGCCAGCGTCCGGTGAAGTCAGAGGTGGCCTTGAGCACGGGCATGCATCCGGGGTTGCCGATCAGCTGGGTGTAGTAGAAGTCGACGATGGGCGACGACACCATGTAGGTGCCAGGCGGGAAGTAGACGAGGCCCGGCGTCTTGGTGCTGCCAGTGCAGCCGGGGCCGCAACGCTTCCCCTCGCTAATGGCCCGGTTGATGGCGTCAGTGTCGTCCGAGACGCCATCGCCCTTGGCGCCGTAGTCCTTGACGTTGCGGAAGACGTCGTAGTCTGGGCCGCCAAAGGGCGCTACGCCCTGGTGCTTGATCTTCTCGAGCCAGAAGTCAGTGCAGGCAGGAGTACCGGCGCTGCTGGTGGCTGTGCTGCGGGTGCTGGACGAGCTAGGTTGCGAGCTGGACGGGGCGGATGAGCTGTCGGCACTGGATGAGCCGGCGGTTGAGCTCGGTGAGAGAGATCCGGACCCGGCGGGCGAGGAGCACGGCGGGGGGGGACTCGGAGACGGGCAGGTCGTGAGGGTCCGACTGACCACGACGGTGACGGCCTGGTGGTCTCCGTCCGCTTTCCCGTTGGCGGCGATGCCCGACACCAGAGCCGAGATGGCAAGGAGTGACTGAAACGAGAGACGATGCATCTTTGGGGAACTACACAGCATTACTGTGCGTGGGTAGAATTGGTGATGCTGATGGTTTAAACGAATGGCTGCGATGCGACGAATCCTGATCGCATCGTGGACCGATCGAGATCGTCAGGGCTGACCGAAGGGGTGAGGTGACCTTTCAGGAAAGGAAAGGATCAATGAATGGCAAAGGGATCGACAAGTTTAAAAGGCCCTCCCCGGGTTGGATTCCAGCTCCCCCTCCCCATCCCCCCCGGGTGCCGAGTGCGAGAGTGCGAGGCGTGTCCATCATCCATCCACAATTCCTCCACACGGCACACGGTCCATGCAGAAGCAACGAACTGCGTCCCCATGCGTTGCCGTCTGGGCCGTGGACTGCGCGTGGTCTCGGCCGGGTAATGGTGGTTCGCTCGGGCACTTTCTCCATCTCGAGCATCATGCTAATTGGTTGGGAGGCACCAGGGGAGGGTGGTAATGTGCCAAGAGCTGCAGGAACAATGTGCCCTTTGCCTAAACGGTCACTGGCGTCCCTGGTTTGCTTGTGAGGGTGCATCCAAATTTGGGGTTGGCAAGCCCCCCCCCCTGAAGAAGCAACGACAGGCGGCGACAGCGGCATGGGGCCTTCATTTCGCTCCACCACGGATACGTCCCGCGCCGCGCGAGCTCTTGGATGCAACAACCGGCATCCTGGCCTGGCAAAGCAAGAAGCGCACGCCATCCCTCTGTCAGCCCAACGTCGGATCCCTCCCCCGAGAATGCGAACCAACACGACAGTGCCACAGCCGTTGACCAACAAAAACAAGACGGGCGGGAGCTCCCTTCGACTTGGGGACCTAATGCGTCATTGTTGTGCCCGAGCCGTGATGGGTTGCTTGTGCGTTGAACCGTCCGCCGCCCATGCACAGAGCCGTTGTTTGCTGAAAGCCCCTCCCTGCCTGCCAAGTGTTGGAATTCGACAATCTCCCGGATGCAGAAAAAGCAAGCAAACAGCCGATTCAGCGACCCGACGGGCTGGATCCCTCTCTCCTCTCTGGGATCAGTGTTGGAGCAGACCCCTGCCGAGGCCGTGCATCTCGTGTTGCGGTGGAGAATACCCCATCTGTGCTTCGTGTCGTTATGTATGGTTTGTCGGTTTGTCGGTTTGTCGATGGGGTTCCGAAGAAACCGAGTTCGACGAGGACGAGTTCCCGGGGTTGTCTGCAACGACAGCCAATGTTAGCTGGTCCAGTCCCTTGGTGAGTTGTTCGCGAGGAAGGACAAATACAAAGTGATGATATATACCTGGTATTGATATCCATGCGCAGAGAAAGAGTCGTGTTTGCGCCGGCAGTCGCGCCCTGTCGACCCGCCAAACCGAGCGCGAGAACGACTTTTTCGAGGCCTTTGTCATTGGTGGTGGTGGGTGTCGTGGTCGGCGTCAGTGACCACTTCGGGATGGCTGTTGTTTTGGCTTGTTCTTCTTGGTATGTGCCTGGTCTTTTGGTCCCGGCAGACCAAGCTGGCAGTGTTCTCCAGCGAGGTTGGCCCGGCGGTGCGGGTTTCGTTTGTGGTTTGCTGCTTTAGCCTTTCTGGTTCGTCGCAGCCGCTGACTGGACCCGGCGGTGATTGCGTCGATGGTGGCGGGGATAAGGCGTCTCTGTGGTGCCGTGTCCTGAGTCGATGTCTTGCAGTCGGATGGTCGGAGAGGCAAGATCGTTGTCGCAGGCAGGTGCTCACCCCTAACCAGTCAGTTCACCGCCCTTCTCCCCCTTCCCCCTCTCCCCCCTTTCTCCCCCCTCCTCCCTCTCCCCTCTTTCTCCCCCCTCCTCCCCCTCGCCGGCTTCCCCCCTCGCCGGCCTAATCTCTCCGTGCCTAGTAATTGCGCAGCTTGATGCGAACCGCCTCCAGTTGGTCAGCCGTTCTGCTGTCCAGCGGCAGGAACATGCGCCTTCCAGACGGTTGTATTGCGCACGTCGGTGAGGGGAATGCCCTTCGCCTCGGCACGGGAGAGCTCGACCCGGTGCCCCTCGGACGTCAGCCCGATCTGGACCCTCTCAACGAACTCCCATCCCCGCCCGGCAACAAGCTCCGCGATTTGGTGTTTCAGCCTCTGGCTCGCCTCCGCGACCTGCTTCTCATACTTGGCTTGGGCCTCGGCGAGGCCGGTTTGCGACTTGCGAACTCGCGGCAGCACTTCCTCCCTGATGACGCGTTGGGAGGCGAGGAGGCAGCGGAGGGCGCTGGCGTAGTAGTAGGGATCAGCGTACTTGCGGTCCCGGTATGCTCTGAGGCCCGCTGGGGATGGGTCCATCCAATAATAATCTTCCTGTTCGCCGGCCTGGGCCTCCCAGGAGATGGGGGTCTGCCGGCACGGGTACTCCCAGCCCGATCCCCAGACCCAAAAGGCGGCCCGTCGAAGTAAGCCCGGTTTTGGCCCATCCCAGATGCCATACTGCTCCAGGCCCGCTCTTGCCGCTTCCGCCCAGTCGGAGCTGCTCAGCTCTTCGACTTGCTTGAGCATGCTGTCGAATTTGGCCTTGAGTATTGCGAATTCCTCGGGCGGGGTCTGAAACGGTGGTCCGTTCATGTTGCAGAAACGCATGAGTTCCGGCAGGCGTTTCTTGTGGAGACTGGACAGGAACCTGGCAGCCGTGCGGTTGAGGTCGGCAGCCTCGTGCTGGTTGACGTTTCCGACCAGGTCCAGGTCGTCGTACTGGCCCAAGTCTTCCTCGTCGGGGTGGAAGGCCCAGGTACTGTTTTTAAACTCGGCAAAGTGATCGTGCAACACACCGTCCACCGTAAATTGTGCGTGACCTGTCATTTCGTACCACCGTAGCTCCCGAAACCTGTCGAGATCTCGAGGTGCGGCCCGGCATATGTTCTCCACGTTCTCAAGTGCCTCTGCGGCTAGGCGGCCCTCTACGGATGCCGACGGCTTCCCTGGAAAGTTCTTGCCGTAGAGCCATGACTCCAAGAGCTGCGCCGGCTCTTCCATGTCGGACAATGCGGCCTTCATTCGGTAGACCCAACCCCTTTGGACGCAAGGGAGCCTGTGAACCTTGCGGCCAATCTGGCCCATGGCCATAGTTATGGCAATCAAGTCAGGGACAACAGAAAGGCGGGTGAAAGCGTAGTAGGCTGGTTTGCCGACGCCCCGGGGGGCAGCAGGTGGCGACAGGGCAGGAGGCCGCGGGGAGTCCGGGTCAGATGCGAACAACGACAACACATTCAAGCCGACGAGGGCGGCCAAAAGTAAAATCACCACGCGGCAAAGGGTGGCCCGGCAAGATCGGGGTCGCCTTGGAGGTGATGCAGCAGGTTCGCCTCGAGGCGGCGGGCTGAAGGGACGAGGCATCGATACGGAAGAAGCGGGCAGTGGGTTGGCAGGGGCGGCGGCGGGAAGGGTTGCACCCTGCGTCAGCCTTCGGTGCTGGGGCGATGGCATCGGTGTCGGGCAGACTGGTGTTGATATTTTGACTGGGAACGAGGTGCCGCGGTTGACCAAGAAGTTTGGGGAAACGAACACGAGCAAAATGGATGTTTATGGGAACCAGGGGCAGGAAACTCGGTGGGAGTGAGCAACGAGGAGGGACGTTGCAACGTGCAATGGATTTTTTTGCCATTCCCATGGGGTGTCGCAAGGTAATGCCACTTGCATGGGCGGGTTCGGGACAAGCGAGTCCCGTCTGCCATCAAGCAAACGAGGATGACCGGAAACGTCCAGCTGGGCGGGAGCGTCGGTGGGCTGCAGCCACGCATTTGGTGGTCCGCTTTTTGGCATGCACGTTTGCGGGCTTTTGCCACCCCCTAATGTGTGACAGCACTGACAAAACTCAAAGGAGATATCGGTGGCTGTCCCGAAAACGGCCGTCACAACCCCGTGCTTGGATCGTGCCTTTGATGCGAAAATTGAGGGGCTGTGGATTGCCGTGGGCTTGTTACTATGGTTATTAATATTGAGTTCTCCTCCTTGAACTGTAGCGTTTTCCTATTTGAACTGTAGTGGTCCGTGCGCAACACTGCAAAACGTCGGCTAATTAATTCTGCCGCTTGATGCCTGCCACACAGCATCACAGCATAACACCCGAAGCAACGTTACGATTCCACAACGGCGCAGTGAGAATACCCTCATTTGGGCATCGAGAATGGATTATTTAAGTGCTAATTTTTTGATTTCAGGTTTTCTTATTAAATATATGTCATTGCGCAGTCTGCAGGACATGGAGGAGTTACCGGCTTCACTCCAACCAGAGGCTGTCTTGACAGGGTCTCCTTATGGTGCACCTGCACCACCAAGCATCCCGCTAGGCCACCGTCTCCTCACTGGCCCGGCTTACGCCTCCTGCAACGAGCTCTTGCTTGATCTGAACTTTTAGGGGAAGTCCTATGGTCTGGGATTTGTGAAGAGGCGAGCTTCGAATTGAGAGTTTTGCGTATTTTCCTGAATCAGGGCTTGAAGAACTTCTTGGTATTCGTGCGTTCTGCTGGATGAAAATGGTGACTATTGGAGCGAAGTTCCATGATTTGTCTCCAAAGTAGGGCTCCGAATCATGCAGCTCACCGCCTTCCCGTTTTGGCTGACGCACGGACCACTACAGTTCAAATAGGAAAACGCTACAGTTCAAGGAGGAGAACTCTTAATATTACTGCGAGGCAGGATTGAATGGGGCAAACGAAGGCCCAGCACCGCGCAAAAGTGGGAAGAATCTTAGCGGTGCAAGGCGGGTATCCACGAGCCGGGACATATTCGCTCACAGCAGCGAGGGGTCTCTTTTCGGCTTACGACCTTAAGCGGCTTATTTGTTGAAGCCGTTCCTTCATCTAAGCCGTAGAGTGACTGCTCACGAAGGCAAGAGCGGTTGGGTACTAGCTCGAGCGAAGGAGCGGGCTGTGGATCGAACCGGTTAGGTGCTCTAAGCCGGCAACGTACCGTCAACCTGCTGCTCACTCGCCTGGAGCTGCTCTTTTTGCTCAAGCCGGGATAAATTCGCTCAAAGCGTAAGCCGTCAAAGGCTTTTCAGTCTCGGCATGGGGCGGTAATGATGAATGCCAGGAGTTGGTGTTGGGTTTGGGGACGGGCATATCGGAAAGGGAGCCGGCGAAGGGAGCTCCTCGTCACGCACATTCAATCACACAATACGTATCACCCTCTCTATGCACGTCCCCGCTCATGCCCCCCCTTCCTTGCCTCTGCCCAGGACTGTAATATGATAAGTCTCTTCAGCCACATCAGACCGCTAAACCTCAATCATCCGAGCCTGAACCGCATGAACCGCCTGAACCATCGGAGCCACCTTCCCCCTGTTCCCCCCAGCCGCAGATCTCTCCCAACACCATCCACCGCTTTCTGCTGTCCCGGGTGACGGCGCGATACCAAGGCAGCCAGCCCTCCGTCAGTCTCTGGACCAATTTGAGGTAAACCGAGAGCAGTTCCGGGCGTCGAAGGCAAAGGGAGGCGATTTCGGCTGCGTCGTGGAGCTCCTTGCTGCCCACGTCCGGCCGCAGCCAGGGCTCCAGGGCTTCTGCTGTCGCAGTCTCCAAAGACTGTTGCCACGCTGGGAAATTCCCGTCTGCAGGGGGAGGCGAGAAAGGTGAAGCCAGAATATCCACACCCAAAAGGTCGTGTGGCAATGGCGGCCAGGGCAGCGGCGGGCCGTCTTGGATTTGGCCGTGTGATTGTTTCACCTGCCGGCTCGCCAGGACTTGGTCAACCGATGACAGTGTCTTGATCGCATGGCAGACTTTGGCCACGTTGGTGTCGTCGGCTGCGCGCAGGGCCGGAGACATGAACCCCGCCCAGACCAGGGATTGCGTGAGAGTGGGAAAGGCGAGCATGATAAACCAACGCAAGTGGAGGCAGGTTATTTGGGTATCGAGCGGAAGTTTGGCGATGAGATGGAGCGCAAGATTAGAGGACAAGAATGGATGTGACAGGTTTAAATGTTGATCATGACTGCGTGCAGCCTCTCCGCTGCACCTCTGCCACGACCATGATCGGCACGACCGACCTGCATCCAACGTCACGGCTCTCAACCTGAGGGATGTGTCCCTTTGTGTGCTGGGCCCGGAATCTCCCGGTGCTTCTTAGCCACTAGAGCGGCAGCAAAACACCGTTTCGTGGCGTAAAAGGGGCAGCGTGTCTGGGCTCCCAACGGCCACAGAGCCACTCGCCGGGTTGTCGGTTGTCCTGCTTCAAGTGCTTTGCTGTCCCTGCCCCTGGGAATCAAAGATGGTACCCACCCACACCTGGATTCTCAAATTTGGGTGATTGCGAGGCGCTCACCAGTGACAAAGTGGCTGAGTGTTGAAGGTCTGGATGACTCCATTTCCCAGCTGCAGGTGCCCGTCCCGTCGCCCAAGTTCATCAAACGCGGCCATGCTCGGTGGAGAAGGCAAACTGTTGGGATGGGTGCCCGATTCAACCGACTTGGAAACCTGGATGGGAACCAGGTACCTTTCCGCCCATGTTTCTCTCTCGATTTCTCTCCCCCGCCATCACGTCGTTCTCTTTGCCCACCACTGGCGATTCTAAGTTTCGCATTGCCATGGCCTGTTGCGCACCACCGTTATTCCCCTGACTTGCCCTCGTTTTTACACCAACTTCAGCCACCTGCCCCCTGTTTCTTGTCTCCCCGCATCTCCCAACACCCTCAGCGCCATGGCCGGCTGTATGAAGCCGCGCTGGGGCTGCTGACGAGTCTTGGAGACATGTTCATCCCAGCGCACCCATTCTTTCGTTCTCTGCCGCGGCCCATTCACTGGATCCTACAGGTCGCCTTGGGGGTGTTTGTTGTAGCCGCCGTGGTTGCCTTCGTCATCGTCGTCGGTACCTTTTCCATCCAATTCCTCTTGTACCTCGTCGACAAGACGATACGGTATTTTGTATCCTTGACATGGGGTGCTGTCACCGACGGGTTCAGCTCTACAGGCACCTTACAATGGGGAGGAAGGGCCCGAGCTAAAGAGAACGAGCGAGGGGGGGACGGCGGGCGGAGGGCAAAAGGAACAACAGGGCGGATGGGGTTCACACTGGGAGTTGGAGGCTGGCGAGAATCATGTCGTGTACGAAGTAGTCAGATTGGAAACGTAACAAGAGAGGACCAAGTTAAGAAGGCTTGTGGTGTAATGTTCAACTGCCGTGTCCGAGAACTCTTGGCGTAGCAATGGCCAAGCGAGCGCAGAGTTGGGCGAGGCGCGAGCTGAAGATGATGCGAAACAGGGGTTCGTTTGTCCACGTCCAGGGGTCAACACCCACTTTCGACCACTACGAAACCATCAACGTGGTACTCGCAAACATTCCTGTCCGTCTCAGACTCCAGAAACAGCCCCTGATACCACGGTTAGAAACTATGCAACCACCACTTTGGGAAAAGTGCAGGATTAACGAGGTCTCAACATTCGTTCGAGAATGTCTGGCATCGGCTAACCGGCTACGGTGATGTTCACCGTTCTTCGTGGAACTGAGTATATAAAGTCATGTTGATCTCTGCCTCTCACGATCAGCACCTCAACATCTCAAGCTAGACTTCGAGCCCGCCCTTCACTCTCACTTCACTTCTTGCTGGGCCGGTCCCTTTCAACACTGTACATAATCAGCTACCCATCCTCTTCCGATTCTCACCAGCGCCTCTCATTCCCACAGCCGATCCCGCCTCCCAGCACCGCCGCCCACAATGAAGTTCTCGGTCGCCACCATCTTCCTCGGCATCGTCGCCGTTGCCTCCGCCCTCCCCAAGGACCCATCCGTGGTGACCCGCCAGAACCAAAACCGCCCCGTGCCCCAAGGCACCTGCTGCGTCGCCAACACCAGCCTCAAGCAGGACACCTGCACCGCCGCCAACGGCCAGACCGGCCGCTGCGTGCCCGGCGGCAACAACTGTGCGTTCTGGCCTCGCTCTACCCCACCCTCAAACACCTTCCCCTTCTCCCATCCCCAACTCCCAACTAACACAGCACACCCCCCACCCCCCCTCCCCCAACCAAAAATAAAAAGAAAAGCCAGAAAAGAATCATGGATTGACAAGCTCCCTTCCCCTCCAACAGGCGGCGGCAGACTCAGCTGCATCGCACAGAGCAACCTGACATGCGACAACAACGTGGTGGAGCGCGGCAAGAGCCTGTGCCGGGCCAACGCCCCCGGCGGCGGGCTCCACGACGGCGCCAACATCATCCAGAACTTGAGGGAGGCTGCCGCTAACTAGATAGGGCGCAAGGAGGTTGCTGCGATGGGGTGATGGCGGTTATGGGGTTGTGGGGTGAAGGGGGAGAGGGTTCGAGGAGGAGTAGATACCTGTACCTATCAGCTCGGTAGAAAGGGGAGGATGGGAATGGAGATTGGAGTGTGAGTGTAGAGGACTTGTTGCGTCCCCTTGGTGATTGTGATGCTGGGTTATGCCTCGCGCTCTATTTTGAGTGAGTTGATGCAAATAGAGGCTGCAGTGAGGCATGTGGATGAGATACATGGGAATGGGTCTTTTAACTTGTTGGATTTGTTGGGGCTGGCGCATCCCCATTCCCCAATGATCTGAGGGTTTCTGGTGTTCCATCATCTACAACTGCAGACAGTTCCGTAGCACAAAGTGACAGTGCATTCATCAACAAAAAGTAAAGTTAAGTAATTTGTTATCGCTCTGAACTACGCCTCTCCCATTCCTCCACCCTGCGCCCCATATCTTCTGTGCAACAGGCTTCGACGTGTTTGCCCCAACCCCTGGTGAATAATACCGAGTGACGACTAGGACGTGGCCTCAGGGGCATTGGATTACCAAACACATGGTGTATCGATAGAGGTAGTTAGCTTTGACGAATATAACATACATCCTTACGGAAGGATATTCTGTTCCCAAAGGCACCGAATGCTATTCAACTCAACAAAGCGGGCATGCGTGGGTGCTGGAGATGCTCGTTCCGCACTTGGCACATTTGACGACTTCGAAAGGCGTGGCGAAGCTGATGGATGAGCTCGTAACAAGGATCAGAAGCCTGCGGAGAGCAAGGTGCTTGGGTGGCTTGTTAATCCGAGAATGTTTGAGGTGTTGAGATGTGCGCTGAAGTTGCCGTGAATAGGAGACGAAGAATTGCCCCTTCTTATAGAAATTAGAGACTTTAATCTTGAGGCAAGGCTACCTGCAGCCTCTGCTGGGCAACAACAGAATAAACAGATTGCATGAGCATGTCACACCTGCAGACCCGGAACGGCTCAGGCCGTCGCCCGCATTAGTGTAGGCTAAACCTACATGTACGTAGCTAACGCCGAGCAAAATGTAGAGCATGTTGACAGCATGAGTAGACGTTGTGTGGCGAAGACAGCCTCGGGTCCTGATCCGGCCACAAACATGGGATTGTTGCAGGCCGCGGCCCCGGGCCAACCAACCACAGCCCCTTTTGGTCACACAAGATCAACATCCGATTCGTTCCTTTCCGCTGCCCCAAACTCGCACATGGCCCATCAGGCGCCCTCTCACCGAAGAGAGGTGCGGGGATACTCTTCAGATGACCTCAAGTACAGGTACACCTCCCCGGCTTTTTGGACGTGATCCGAATCTTTCGTCCCAAGGCTTTCCTGATCAACGAGATGGCACCTCCAACCAACCACGAGCTGAATGCCAAGCGAGAAAAATATTGCATCGGCATCACACCTGAGAGAAAGTATTATTGATGCGGAAACCTATGGATCAAGCGGAGCCTACGGCCAATGGAATGGCAACAACACAACGGCTTCATGCACGTGCCGAGGTTGAACGTACAGCGCATTTCGAACGAAGGAGCCTGTCTTAAATTCCTGGCCGAAAAGACAGACATCCTGGTGCCAAAATTTCATCCCTGTTTTGAGCATGACGGGGGCAGGCTGCCTGATTACGGCGTATGTTGAAGGCGTTGGGATGAACGAACTCGACGAGGGACAGCAAAGGATCGTCAGCCAGGAGCTTCAGAAGCATGTCGAAACGATGAAGACGTTGACCTTGAACACGTGGGGTGGGCCTGGCGGCATGGTAAGCGCCCAATAGGTTACTACTGCAGTGAAAGGGGCGGCTTGCTGAGGAAGAGAAAGCAGGTGTTACCCCCCTATCGAGTTATGAGAAAGTCTGACGGCCGACCATGGAGGATGCGTCCCCGGGAGGAGCATACCCTCGTCTTTTGCCACAACGATCTATCTGTGAACAATGTCATCGTGGATCCAGATTCACTCAAGATTAAGGCAATCATTGACTGGGAGTATTCTGGCTTCTTTCCTGCTGAGTTCAAAAGAGAGTTCTACGCGCGGCCTGGCCCATCGGTCGCGCTACCGGGCGAGGTAGATGATGTGGAGGTGTTGACGAGCATCATGGGAAGGGAGAAAATGTAGACACGGCCGGAGAGTTGGATTTGAACCAGATATTTACGATAAACAATGTACCGAGGTAACGGTGTAGAAAAGCAACGGAGATTCGTCTCCACCCACCCCATCAAGCAAGTAGCAGAACCGTGGAGCAAATGCTTCTGTTCTCATTTCTTCATAGCCCCCAAGTCCTGTTGGCCAAAGTTCTGGCTAATTAGGTAGCTACATCGCCAAGCTCGGGCTTCGTTGACGACATTGAGTTGAGGCTACGAGGTCGTTGAGACTTTTGAGCCGCCCCGCGGGTGATTGACTCGGAACAACAGTCGTCGACGGTAATGGAGCCTGAATCCGCAAACTTCCATTAGTTACCCAAGTATGGTTCCCCGGGACCACGAATTCGACTGAATTCTCATACCGTTAATGTTGAGCAGACGTGAGCAGGGGGCTGACACAACTTTCTGCCGTCGAAAAGTTTCGAGGAAGCACAGTACATCGCCGCAGATATTGGCTTGTGCTTGGCTTGCGGGTGTCTTGTGAAACTCGCCTGCCCGCCATGGCAACAATGACACCGAATACTCTAATGCAATTTGGAAAAAGAGGAGGGCGAGGGGTGTAGATTGTATCTCAAGCAACAAGAAAGGTAAGGTGCCAAAAGCTGACGAAGATGATTTAGTGTCTGGGTTTTTGCTTCTCTTTCGACCAGAGGTGTGCATGGTTCTTATGACCCTCTCTGTTGATGTCCTTGCCTTCGGGCCATAATATGTTGCTTCAAAAGTTCAACCCTGCCGAGCTCCGATCAGAAGCCCGCTTAGTTTTGCTGCTGTCCGAGTTTCGCCCCTTCCAAGTTCCGAAAGTTGCGCAAAGGCATGTTGGTAAAAGCAAAAACTGAAGCAGGCGACTGAGCTTGCTTGGTGCATGACGGCTTCTTAGGCATCTTGCAACGCTTACTCATGCTCTTGAGCCTTGGCAAGGATCTGCTTTATTTAACTCACCTCACTCAGTGAACATGGAACCAATCGCTTCTTTCTGCACACCCCAGCTTCAGCTCCCTCGCGACCATCGGGACGATCGGGATGATTGGGATCATGTCGACTTTGGAATTTACCATTAGTTTTCCAGCAACAGTTGAATCAATCGCCCACGAGATTACCTAACTTCCAATTTCTTAGTTAGGTCTTCAGCCCTCCAGGTTGCTGCGGCGGTGCCCTCCTGAAGGCCATCCTCCTGAACGCGATTGGCCCTCCACCGCCGTAGGCTCCGGCACTCAGCTGCGCCCAGCTTCGCCGTTCCGGGGGATGAAGTGCATCGTTGATGAGCGCATCTGGCAAATGTCGAGAAGCTCTGGGGTACTCGATTGTCGATTGCGCGCCCCCATTCATGGCACCGATTCCCTGACAGACCGATAGTGGGTTATCAATGACGAAGACACTCCCGGGCTTGGTTCATCATGGCGCCAGCTAAGTTCATGGCGAGAAGTTATCAGGAACCCAATCAATATAGGATTCTCGATTAATATCCATACCTAATACCATGTCGCCAAAATACAACGAGTAAAAACACGAGATCCCCAAGCGTGATTGCCTGCAGGCGACGTCGCTACATGCACGAATAGGGGCAGAAGATGGGTTTTGGGCATGGGGTCACGGGGGTTTGCGTTGAGGAGGGGAAAAAGCACATACTCAAAGGGGTGCGTGAGTAAACGCATTTGGGGGGTGTCGATACCTGGTACCTCTCTTCGTAAATCGAGGCGACGAATGTGCTGGCGGAGCGTGCACGGTACATGGGCAAATGGGCCCATGGCTGGCCCTTGTCTTGAGGGGATGCACACCGCAAGCTCTCTTCCCTTGCTGGTTGTCACCATGCACACGTAGACCGCCTCGCGAAGGGGCCGTTTCGTGTCGGGCAGCAAATCCACAGGGACCACGCAACGCGAATGGGAACGCGCCTTACCCTTGCCAGCCCAATCAGCTCCACATGCCCCCCTGACTCCCTGAGAGCCCCGACGCCAACCCAGTTTGAGGGGAGCATCTCAGCAGCACCAAATGGAGGTCATGGGAGGGTTTCCACTCTCCACAGCCCAAAGAAAAGATAAACATCCCTTTGAGATCGAGAAAGTGTAAAGAGTTGAGGCGACAAGTCGAAGCCGCCTACTCCGACCCTTCAGCCCACGAGTCCACGACGACTCAACATCAAATCACATTCGCCGCCGGGACCGCCCCGTCCCTTCCAGTCGACCACCGGATAAAGAACAAGCAACCCACATTTTGCCCTTTCAACATCTCCTGGGTTCCCATCCCCCGCCTCTGATTCATCCATCATGGGGAAAGCGTGGGAATGGATCACCAGCAACAAGCGGCTCAGGAAGAAGGCCTTTCAGACCGCCGTCGAGTATGCCGTCAAGGCTACGCCGATCGTTCAGACAATCGAAGCTGGACTTAGGAGCACCAAGCAGTTTATGGGTGATGCCAGTACCGTCGCGAGCGAGGTAAACGACATGGTTTCAAAAGCCAAAGAGTTCATACCTTCCATGCAGGTGATTGGGGGATCAATGGCCGACTCGGCCAGGATCTTTGTCAGTTTCAACATGATCGCGACGGCTGCTGGCATCGCTACCAACGTCGTCTTGACATACCAGGGAATCAAGGTCCTTCAGCTCATAGACGCCCGCCTCAAAGACATGGCTACCAGCCTGGCAGCCCAGACAGCCCTCATCGCACAAAAGGATTTCCCGCCATACGTCCACGACATGATCCGGGAAAGAGTCACGCAAACCTCGCTCGACCCTGTCTGCGATCACTGGTTCTTCGTCTACCACCCCGACAACGACTGGTATCCGGGCTTCTACCACCTTTTGGAGAAGGAGCCGATCGGCCCGGGGTTTTGCGGCTACACGAACCAGATCGACACGGCCTTTGTCTTCATGCTCGCCGCCCGGCGACACATCGAAAAGAGGGAACGTCGAGCCCGGGAGGAGGGCCGAACCGTCCGCCCAACAAGGTTGCATCTCTTGATCCCCGCCTACCAGCCCATCCTGATCCTCGAGGCGCTCAAGATCCCGCCCGAAATCGGCGACTTTGTCATGGAGGGCCGCATCAACAGCAACACGCACTTTGTCTGGCTCAACCTGCCCGAAGACCAAAAGTGCTATGTTCAGGACATTGGCCATTTCGCACCACCGAACCAGGGGTGGTTCTCCTGGTTCATGTCGGGGCTTGGATTGTCAGAGAAGCCACCTAAGTTGGGTGAACGGAGGGTCTTGGGGACCAAGCAAGGGTCAACAACAGGTGCCGACGCCAATGCCGCCGTTGCAGATGCAAATAACGAGGAGGAACCCGAAGGGGAGGAGAATCGTGCCGAGAATAAACGACACCGCGCCACGCCTCTTGGGCAACAGTATCGACGACGCCGCGGAACGCGTCATGCCGAAGACAAGGGGAGACGTCGAAACGGCGAACCTACGGCAAAGGACTCCCGCAACGGGGGAAGGGGGCCGATGAGGCCCGCATGAGACGGCGTGGTGCAGACCGCACGGGTTCGGGAGAAGGAATGTCGGCGAAGACGAGCCGGGCTACCGGGCTACCGGGAGCTATTTGGTGGGGCATGTCAGCTGCAGGGGGAGAGAAACTTGAATGGCAACGCCGCGTTTGTTATGATGTGGTACCGCAAGATTTGAAAAGGATTCCGAGGAGGGGCCGCAGACTGACAGAGCCGGCCAACCCGAATTCTGGAAGGACTTGGACTGGAAGCTCAGGGACGAGACGTGTGGTGGGCAACCTAGCTTATCCTGCGGAGTTCGATGCACAATAGCGTACCAGGCAGGCACTTCAACTATCTTAGTATGGGCGAAGTTCGAGGTAACAGATGCCCATAATGGGTGGCCCAATAAATGAGTCGAATGACTGACCCCTGAAAACCCAGCAGCACAACCGACGCCCTTCGCTCGACAATGATATGAGTCAGAGTTTGCGCAATATTTCCGACTTATAACCACTTACCACCATAACAGTAACTCGCCCTTTTCAAGTAACAACCAACACAACGCCTTACCCGCCGCAATTATTTCCAGCTTTCCAGCACCATTATCTCAGTGTCCCCACACAACACAACACAACCCAATCATCAGTGTCACCAGACCACCGCAATGCCGGCCACCACTCCCGACCTACACTTCCGCGTCGCAACGGCAGCCGACCTGCCCCTCGTCCACCCCCTCATCGAGTCGGCCTACCGCGGTGAAGGGAGCCGGCTCGGCTGGACGACCGAAACCGACCTGCTGGCAGGCACACGCATCGACGAGGCAAGCCTCCTCGCCAAGATCACCAACCCCGCCGGCGCCGTGTTGCTCGCCTTCACCCCCACCACCTCACCCTCCCCCCCAACACAAGAACCAGAACAACAAACCCCAACCCTCCTCGCCTGCTGCGAAATCACCCAACCACCCCCCCCCACCACCACCACCACCACCTCCGCCACATCCAACTTCTCCCTCTTCGCCGTCTCCCCGCGCCATCAAAACACCCACATCGGCCGGCGCATGCTGGCGCACGCCGAGGGGTACGCGGCGCGGGCGTGGGGCGCCACACGCCTCGAGCTGACCACCATTGCGTCGCGCACCGAGCTGGTCGCGTGGTATGTGCGGCGGGGGTTTGTGGCGACGGGGGAGGAGCGGCCGTTTCCGGAGGAGGAGTTGAGGAGGTCGGGGGGGAGGGCGTTGGTGGGCGGGTTGAGGTTCGTGGTGTTGGTGAAGGGGTTGGATCGGTTGGGGGGGGAGGGGGTGGAGGGGGGTAGGGATGGGGATGGGGGGGGGATGGTAGGGGTGTGAGTGTACTGTGGGGGCGCCGGGTGGCCGCGAGGATGATGTCGCCCCCCCCTATCACTTATCTAGCTTACGCTCCCTCGTGGCCTGGTTAACCAGTGTATACTGTCACCTTCACAAACCCCCCAGATGTGATACACAAACTCATCAAAGATGGAACTC